ACAGGCGAAATATATTTGCAGAGAACTATGAGAAAGAAGAAAATAAACAAGTTAGTTACCAATAATATTTCCTACTCCAACTGATGCTAGAACCGTGTCAATAACGCTATGTAGGTGTCAGCTAAAATTATATGAAATATTATATTATGGAACTGGATAGCATGCAAAATATGACCATAGGTTTACATCATATTCATAACAATACATAACTGTGTTTTTGTCATATTATTTACTCTTTGAACATACATTATAACCGCGCGAATCGGAGTATACTTAATCTTTTCGAAATATTTGACACTACTTTGCCATGACAGTAAATTTGGAATGTTACACGATTGTATTGTATTTAGGGACATTGAGTTTGCAAAACCTTGTAGACAAAAGCTAGGTGTTTCCAGACAGTTCTCAAACACTACTACAGAACCAACAGATTCGAGGTTAATAAACGCGTGTAACTCGGCAATCAACTGGCTTTTTTTGTCACAGTCTAATCTGAACACAACACATTAAAATGCACAGACAAAATCATGTCAATAAAATGTTTCGCCAATGGAAGACGATCTCTTTATACTGAACAAATAGTGCATAAGATTCCAAGTATTTTTCGTTGTCATATTACGAAAACTTCTTAAGTAATTAAATTTTCGAATTTTACGGAAGTATGAAAATATTATATATTTACATGGCTATATGAAGATAAAGGATTTTAATGGATATGATACAGTGATGAAATAGTAAAAAACACCACACTTGGAATATGAAAACGTTTTTGGCTTGATAATAAAATGGAAGACGATCTCTTTATACTGAACAAATAGTGCATAAGATTCCAAGTATTTTTCGTTGTCATATTACGAAAACTTCTTAAGTAATTAAATTTTCGAATTTTACGGAAGTATGAAAATATTATATATTTACATGGCTATATGAAGATAAAGGATTTTAATGGATATGATACAGTGATGAAATAGTAAAAAACACCACACTTGGAATATGAAAACGTTTTTGGCTTGATAATAAAATATTTCCAATGAAGTGCATTCAAATTTGGTCCTTGTTATCAAACGTCACAACTACGGCTCTTTCGCCATCTAGGGCACAACACTATGCGTTTTATTACCAATAGTAAAATATAAGGTGAACACTAAAACCCAGGTCGAAATACCGACGATGAGTCCAATAATACAAAATATTAACGCCCACTTGGACCTCTTTCTTGCTTGACTTTCTTCTCCTAATTGCCATGCATAACTGGATTTGACTGAAATACAAAATAAATTAATCATTATTTTGAAGTCGTATTCTAGACACTGTACTTTACTTAGTTACAGACAGCTCTATGTAAACCCAATGTACTGTGCCATAATATTGAGATATTCGTAAGTTCATTAGTCCAAACCTTAATATATATAATTAGTGTAGATATAAAGAATCGAATGAGGCTCGTTGGAATCATTCTGATGTCACTCGATAACAATTAAAATCGTGTTCTCTTTTCATTTATTGGTGGTTACGTTAACAATCGTTACACGCCGATAAACTCACCAAATGTGACACGGGGCATCTATTCATTTCAGGTGTTGATTTTAATTCCATCCTGGAAGTCAACTCACTACACATTATTCCTTGTCTTATAAATCAGTATTTTGCAAGTTTGTAGCCATTAGACAGATGAAAATGAAAATGGGGTTTAACGTCCCACTGGGTTAATGAGGACGGACATGCGCCATGCAGTGAACTATGAGAGAAATTTCCGCCTACTCTTCTTCAAATTCCAACTGTCAAGGGTTCTTTTACATACACGCCCATTAATTGAACACGGGATCTTGGTTTTTCGAGCGGTAGTAGAAACTGTTTTTGAAAGGTTCTCTGTCCTGCACCACTGACCTGGTAGAACCAGCTTGAAAATCCCAAGGAACTTTCTCTGGGTTGGGGAACAATTCCGGGGCCTCCTGGTTTAGTTAGAGAGCGCCTTATTCACTGCGCCACCGTGGCTCTATAGCCATAAGACAGAGAGAAATTTGGTTTAACGTCTACTCATTTTGTCGGTAACCCATGACTCAGAGACAACCCTTTTTATCTAAAATGTACCCACACCGCAGCGCTCTACCAGTTACCATTAGAGAAATAATTAGTAATTCACATTATTAACTTACCTCCGTAATTATAGGCTATTAACCCGAAAATAAAATTGCATCCCATAATAATAAAACAGGAGAATATAACGAAATCTTTAGGTTTACGATTTGGGTCTGGTTTCTGAGCTATAACAGGAACTCCTGGCTGAGAAATTGCCACAGTTGGAGAAGCTGGATTATATTTCACAGCATTTGGGGATTGTTGGGGTTTCTCTCCTTCATCTCCTTCGTCGAGTTCGAAGCCGGAATTGACACAATCTACATGGATCTCCTGATGATCAATTGTTGCTACTGTGTCGTTCTCCATTCCTGACATTTTCAATCTGAAATATTGGAATTGACATAACGTATTAATAAAACTGATTAATAACGTTTCGATTTCCTGCTGATTATTATTTCCTGGGTTTAAACATTGTTTAGTAAGAAAATCATATCAATAAAATCTTTCAGTGAATTAAAGGATGTGGCTGTTAAGATCTCTATACACTAGTGATTATTTGTAGGCATCAATTCTGTTCCATATTCTATATCTCCGTGGTCTAACAAATCACTGTATTGTATATCAGGAGGGGGCATGTGTGTGACAATGTCTCCTTATCGGGGCGTCGCGGTGGCTCGCTATCCAAGTGTTCTCGTGTTGGCTCCTAGTGTTGGTCGAGAAAGTTCGTCTGGATTTTCCAGAGCGGATTCCCTTGTCAGTGGTGCAGGACGGGGGGGTGAAAATCTAAGTCCAACGGTGTGCACGTAAAGAACCCCTGACAGCTGATATTCGGAATAAGAGTAGGTCGCAAGCCTAGTATTGTTGTCCGGAAAAAATATTCCTCACAGCACAATCGGAGCGCAGAGCAGTAGGACGTTAAACGCATTGTATATATATATTTTTATGTTATTATTATTATGTTATATTAATTAAATTACACTATTTCTTCTCTAAGCTGTTTATTGTAACGGTTATTTGAGAATAAAGTTATTATTATTATTATTATCTAAACGCCATTTCATTTCGTCATCCAATCAAAGGAGTGTGTGTGTGGGGGGGGGGGGGGGAGAGGGGGTACAAATGTTCATGCGTCATCTAATTTGAAATAATATGACTTAACGCGTAGTTTGTACTACGAAGACATAAATATGAGTATGACCACCCCGATGAACATTAAAGGACCTAAGTCCGTAACTCAAAATCCTCCAAAATCTTCGACATCGAAAACACGTATTATTGGTCAATTTAAATCAACATTGATGATGTAAACTTACCGGGAAAAGATGAGCTTCTGATATCCGATATTTAAGATAAAATAATTTTTTTAATCATTGGTACACGACTCGTGTACCATAATGCGCTTCAGCCCCGGTTGTATTGAGAGACTCGAGGGACGAGGCTAGACACATTGCACCAAATCTAACGGCGTATTTAGACTGGAATAACCAGACGCTAGAAATTTGCACTCGCTTGAGACTGCTGGCTTATTTCGCCGAACATAACTGATTTGAAATTGGAGTAAAAACGGAAACCATTGAATGTAAATCAGTTTATATACATTCATACTACAGTATAATATGCGTTGCGACCCACTTTTGTCAATTTCTAGGCCCCAAATGTTAGCGATTTAGCTCCTTTAAGACAAAATGGACCATAAAAGCCATGGATTGGGGAGATATGATTGATTAATTATATTGAGTGGTGTTTTGCTCTTGGCGGGATGTCAACTTATTTCTCGTTATTGTGTTAAATAGATCTAAATACAGTTGATCTGAAAAAAATGCCAGAGGCAGAAAAACCTCGTACCTTATTTTCAAACACAATATTAACTATACATATACATGCATTATAATTTCATTGTGTGGTTTGAATTATTTCAGACAAAAATCGCCACGACTGTTCTGCGCATGTAAAATGTTTACTATACTGTTCAAACCTCAACTATTGCAACGGTTCAACTTTTTCACTAAACGTGTGTAAGTGACATTGTTTAATAACACAATGCATATTGACATTTTACTGTTATAGCAAATGGCACAACACGACCGTTATTTAGTCACGGTTCATACACAAACAAGAGAAGTGTATCACTCGATTCACGTCGCCCATGAATATTTGATCAATTATATTGAAATCTAAATGGTGTACTCACTCCTGATTGTCTCTTACATAAATCTTGTTGTTGCTACGTTATTTTCATGATATCTTTTCAAACGGAAATTGTAAAATATGACCGTCACACCTTGATACTCAATGCAACCTACTTCTTTCGATTACCTGTAAACGTCATTGACGATTGGCGCATGCGCTACGATTTTTAACGGTGAATACTAAAAGGGAGACTAGTACAGTCTATGGTCTAAGCATTACGGAATCAGACTACTTAATTTTACTGTTATCTAGTAAAGCGACGCAATTTCGATCAGATGTTTCTAAATTTTCATTTGATTTTTGGATAGGTTGGTTGGGTGGGCGAAAGGTCTAATGCGTGCCATTTAGATCATAAGGTCTGTCATTGAGTTAAATGGCATGGTTTTGATTCCAAGCTTGTACACAGGTTTTCAATGGGAGATCTGGTTTCCTCCCACTGCTAAAGACCCCTACTAGCAAGTGAATTATTGAAATAAAATTGGACCAGAAATGACCTAGTTCATGTTGATTGAATGTTAAAGTTAATTTCTATCTCTCCAACCCCCTATCAGTATTTCTAAAGAAATTGCATAAATTTCTTGATATCTTTGTAATGTTTCATTAGAAATTAAAAAGGTTATAACTCAAAAAAGAAACAGCAGAGTTATAACACAGTTCTATTTGAATTTAATAATTATTAAATATTTATATTATCTATATAATTCATTAATTTTAATACTAATTATAATAACTGTCATACTTTATTTCTTAGATAGTTATCAATTAAAAATGTACAATTCCATAATATTGATACTATTTTTTGTATATTGTGTATCACAATGAATATACAAATAAAAATTTAATAATTAACATATGGCCGTGTATATGATTCAAAATTGTAAATAGTTTAGAAATTAGACAATAGCATGACATTAACAAATTTAGAATTTGAATCTAATATACCGCCATATTAATAAAACATCAATGCCCTAGAAGGCAAAAAAAATTTCTGATTTAAATATTTTCAAAATAAGATCTTAAAATTGGGCATTCAACAGTAATTTAGACCATCAAAACCCAAAACGTAGGTGAGATGTTATTGTGGTCTCGATGTTTGTGGATAGTAATTAATCTATTAATCTAAGAGTAAAAAAATTGCAGCAGTCTATTAATCTAAGATGGAGAAAAAAAATGACAGCAATAAAGCGCCAGATAGCTTCTAGTAGGACTGATCCAAATGAATAATGTTTGGACCAATATGCTAAGACTAATTTGTATTGTGCCTACTGAAAATCATATATTATTGGTTTTTAGTCTGGAATATTTTCGCTTTAATTATCTTTTTCATGTCAGATCTAATAATTAAATTTAATACTATTTAGTACCATGTTTATAATACATTTTCCAGATATGCAAAACACAATTTAATAATAATAGTAATACTATGTTTCATCCATTATATCTCACATTATTATCAGACAATATACATTATATCAAATTTAATTTCATCTATTATTTTTCAATTGGTTATCACATAATATACAGTTAGTTAAAGATACATTATAGGAGAATAGATAAAGAGCTGGCAGTTCTAATTATAATTATTAAAAACTAGATAATGTAAAGGGAATTTGCAGAAAATTTCAGTCAAATTCATCCACTCTGAAAAGAGAATTTAGCGATTGAATTTTAGGCCTAGCCTCGATCATCATTACTAAATTCGGTATGATAAAAAACATAGTCTCGATTATCCATTTTTTGATTTACTGCTCAATGAGTGTTGAGCAGCAGATCAGATTCCAATCCAGTAAATAATGCAGGCTAGCGATGACATCGAGAGCTGATTATGGCCTGGATAAGTTAATTAATGTCTAATTAATAATTAAGATAACATTTCAGGCCTAAAGAAAGACCTGTAATAGGCAGATTCAGATCATGCTTAATGTATGTCTAAATGTAGTACTAATTACTAATATTTTTCAAGCATTATTCATGTATGCTTTTCATTTAACATATGCAATTTATAATCTCTATTTAAGTTTTACATCTTCGATAATAAAATAAACAAAAGCTATAAGGTATAGCTATATAAAATTAACTGACATATACGTCTATAAACTATACACTAATACAAATAAAAAGATTCAGTTCATTTGATTACTCAATATAAATACTTATTAAAGAATCTTGAGCACATAAACTCTAACTAGCTTGTCGTTTCAAAAAAGATATACAAAAAAATATTTACAATTACAAATCAAGAAATGAAAATTGTCATCAATAAGAAAGAAATTTAATAATCAAATTACTGTATAGAAAATTAATTTTAGTTTCATGACAATATTGACACATTTCCATGCAGTACGCTCTTGTAGTCTATAATACTGGTAGTTCAATTTGAATGTTTAACCAATGTTAATTCCCATAAATGTTGTGCAACGATCAATACTCTACAGTAAATGCAATTACGGTTTCTAGACTAATGAGGTTTTGAGCATTTTATCTAAAATTTAAAAGACAAATCTGACTTTTCAAAATAAACACATTGATTATAACATTAAGTGCAGAAACACAGATGACAATTGTGTGGACAAAACACATCACACACATAATACAAGGAAGGAATAAAGTACTATATAATCAAGTGAATTGACCCTGGTGCTGTCAGTAACCGGTCGCTTCTCTGTACAGTCCTGGCTCAGAGGACTACCATAATATGCGCGTCACTTATTCAGGAAAACAAACAAAGGGCGGCAACGAATTTCTGGTTTAAAACGGGGCAATTCCAAAACATTGTATTATTCTGGTGTATGTAAAGATTAGCTGTAACAAGAAATCGCAATGTTAATAGAAAAAGATTTATATCTATTCAATTTGTTGAAAAGAGGCAATCCAATGAGCTTGATAATGATAAGAGGATACTTGTCGAAACTTTGTGCTTTTAGAATAAAACTAGTGATTGTATCCCATAGAAACTGTGTTTTCTTTATGTGTTTCCAAATCGCTAAATGCCACTCAAAGATTACATTATTCTAAAGCCAAGGAGAAGTAATTCATAGGGTAAAAACAATAGAAGTGTTTGAAAATATAGAACAATTTAGGAATGATTCTATTAAATACACCAAGTTTTTAATAAAAAAAACCAACCCTAATACTATGTGCCCAGTACAAGTTATTGGGATAGAGTAAAATATATAATATAATAATATCATGTACAAAAAAAAAAAAAATACTCAATATTTTTTTTTACACGATCAGAGCAAGAATAAATTTTCAAAATGGAGGGAATAAAATTATCAACCTAATTCCCTTTGCTAAAATCAGGTTTGAAACATTCATATATCATTCTAAAACAATTTCTCATGTCCTTAAAAGAGTTAATAAATGTATAAATTTGTATAATTATTGTAAATATAATTTCATGTTAGGTGTGGAGTTACATGGATAATACAGTAGTTTACAGATCCATCCATCGTTCCTGCATCACCTTGTATTGGTGTCATACTCGCGGCCAATGACAATTTATTAATAGCATAAACTCAGAATTCACATTTTTATCAAAAATGGCAGCCCCAGTGAAGAGAAATATATTCGCTGATACTGATTAGGAAACAAAGACCAGCGGCTGCCAGGCAGGATACGCCCACATTTTCGAGAGATGGATAGAGAACAAGATAAAAAGAAAGTGATTTTTTCTACAATCAAGGGCCATAATTCAGGAAATTACAATTCGATATGCACAAATATCGAAAGGAACCAAGATCTTTGTGTTATAAACTTACACTTCAAGTTTCAACAAAATCGGATTAAAATTGTGACCTCTATAGGGTCCACAGCCTTGATATACCATATTTTTACGCTATTTGGGAACGAAGGGCGGCCATTTTGTCTGTCAGTTTTGGGCCAATTTTCACGAAATTCGAACTCAGCCGTCCTTAGGGTGTAACAGAGATATAATAATACGTTTTTTTAAATCGGATAAAAATTATGACCTCTATAGGGTCCACAAGCTAAAAACGCGATTTTTCGTACAATCAGGGGCCATAATTCAGGAAGTTACGGTCCGATATGCGCAAATATTGAAAGGAACCGAGATCTTTGGGTTATAAACTTACATTTCAAGTTTCAACAAAATCGGCTAAAAATTGTGACCTCTATAGGGTCCACAAGCTAAAAACATGATTTTTGTACAATCAGGGGCCATAATCCATGAAGTTTCGATCCGATACATGCCAATATCGAAAGCAGCCGAGATCTTTTGGGGATAAACCTATATTTCAAGTTTCGTCAAAATCGGATAAGAATTGTGACCTGTAGAGAGTCCACAAACAATTGTGGATGGACGGACGGACGGACAGGTTCAATGGCATAATACGTCCACATGAAAATGTGGGCGTATAAAAATATAGTAGTGGTTTAGTGGATTCAAAACAGGAAATGATAAAAAGAAATACAAAATAAACAACATTATCAATTCTTAAGTATTTTGCCTAACTAACGGGGGACATAATCCAGTCTGTCTAAGCTAAACCTTGAATGTGTTAAAAAAAAAAAGAAAAAAAAAAACTATGACACCGAAAGATGTATCATTCTTGTTCCACACAACCATGACCAATCCTTACAGTTGAGGTCAGGAGTTTTCAAATAGCTGCCTATTTTTTATTTTTCAATAAATCAATTTCTGCATTTTTCCTAACTTCATCGAATGTAAACTCTTTGACAAGCCTTCCATTTTCAAACACAGTGCAAAGCTGATCCTAGAAAAAAAAGATAATTTAAATGATGTGTAAATTGAGAAAATCATGTGTTTGTTTTCTAAACTAATCCCAACCCAATATGATCCACAATAGATGTGACTTTCAATTCAAATTAATTTCAAAAAATATAACACACCAAACTTTTTAAGATTGTGCACAGAAATGAAATGGGGTTTAACATCCTACATCATATGTAATATATGGCAATAGGTTTGACCCTCCAGTCAAAATAGTCAATGCTATATATCATGCTTTTGCCAAAAGAAACCATACACCCATCAAGAATAATGCACAAATGCATGTAACAATGTTTTTTGATTTACACATTATACTTTTATCTTCTTTTTTATATTTTCATATATATGTGTTCTGTACATTATTTTATTGTGTCTACTGCCTCCTGTGTCTGAATGAAAATTAATAAAATTGTAAAATGTACCTTGCTTGGATCTCCTTTGCCTTCTACAACTGTAACATAATCATTACCACGTAATTCTAAAGTTAATCGTCCTTTTTTACTTTTTTTACCTAAATCTGTGATTGGTTGTTTAAAAACATTTACCTGTTTAAATAGTAAACAAATATTATATTATAGTAGATGTAGAACATAAACATTGTTAATTACAAGAACATGTTTGTATATCATTGTTAACTACAAGAACATGTTTGTATATCATTGTTGCAAGAACATGTTTGTGTATCATTGTTAACTACAAAAACATGTTTGTTAACTATAGGAACATTTTTGTGTATCATATTTTGTTTTGTGTTAATAATTGATTTTTTCAAAACATTTATTTTATCTTAAAGATGGGTTCCCAGAAAAGTATTTATCGGTGGTTATTTCCAATAAAAGTATGTTAATTTTGGTATATATGGAAAGTAGAGATATCCAATCTTACTAGAAAAATACTGGATTCCCTGAAAAACACTCATCGAGCGTATACAGGACAAAAATGTAAGGGTTCCCCTAATCAACAGCCCGACGATTAAGAATTTCTGCACGTGTGATGTCAAAGGTCACACGCGAACATTGAGCGCTTGATGTACAAGTTGATAAACTTTATGAAGAGTTAGACGTACAATACTTTCTGAGATAAAAATGACGGAAAAAGACGCGGGTAGTGGATAATCCGAGAATTTAATTAGGATTCGATATTTGTAATAAATAGTAAGCGATTAAAGACAACATCGTCTTATGTATACAATGAATTCTCCTCTGATTTCCAAGATGTGACGTAAACATGACCTGGTTTGATTGAATTTTAATAGCAGGGCATTCCTTTGCAATTACAATGTTTGAGAAGGATTTGAAACATAATTATGACAAATTAATTAGTTTGAATATGTTTTAGTCCATATATACCATTAAATCACCCAGTTTGTACGTGGGAACCCATCTTTAAACAATTTATCATTCAGATATTTTTTGCTACACAGCGCTATATAAATGTTTTGTAATAATAAAATGGACAGTAAATCATTATAATGGGAATTCCAAAAATACTGATGCTAAGTTGTATTAATTTTAAAACACTTTTGACATCATTAAATACTTGTCTACCAGGAATCTACTAATGCCTCATCCCTTCCCCCTCATGCATCCAGATACCCCCCCACCCCCAAGATATAATAAACCAGATGCCCATTTCACTTCTTAAAGACTTTTAGTCTGCACTTCAATAATGTATTTTAAACTTATGGAAGGGGCCATATCACACTACATAAAAAAAAAAGATAGTTAAAACTATAATCAGGTTGTTATATTAGTATAACAGTCTTCTCTCAATTTTTACAAACCAGCAAAATACCAAGACACTGATGCCTCTTTAACATTAAAGCACTAACCTCTCTGCCATTAACTTCAGCAAAACTACACTTATAGGCACATTTTTGTGTATCTCTGTCTAATCTCTGTAATAAAGCACCACCACTTCCAAAAGCTACATTATCAGCACTCCATTTATGTCGTTTCATATTATCTAATATAGTAGATAATGTTTCATAGCTAATACCATCCCCCTGTATTATTCTAACATATGGTGGTAACACTTTATAACCTTTAGTATTAGTGGTTGTACCAAATTTACTGCCTAGTATATCTAACGTCTGAAAATGTAAAATACCACCTTTTAAAGGGATATACATGCATTTACGTTTTGTTCATATTATCTCTCTATACATAATTTGTAAGGAATCTAAAAAATTTATATCAACAAATTTGGTTCAGTAAAAGTTCAGTGTGTGACTGTTTAGACCCCCACCCCCCTTTCCCCTAAGGAGTCTGCTGGAACAACACATGCTCTTGTATTTAAAGTTGTACATTTTGAAAATGACTAGACCTTCATTTTAAATAAATGGGAATCTGTCCACATTTAAAATTTAAGTTCTATAGATCAAGCTAATGTTCAACAGTTGACACAAACTTAGAAACTTCTGTTAGACACAAACTGTTTTCTTTCAATTGAACATTCAATGCCAAACTTAAAAGTCAAAATCAACATAACAACAGTGAACATAATCTTTAAAACAGAATGGCCTCTTACCTTGACGACCACTTCTGGAGGGTCACCAGAATCTGGTCTTATAACAAGTGTGCCATTAACTCCACGACTAACAACTAAATCTTTTAACTGTTCGCCCCAGACTTTATCACAGGCGTTCCATATATCATAACTATCACTAACAACAGCTACAAGTCCTGTAGGAAACTGGGTTAACATATTACGGAATGCTTCTAATTCCCCATCTTTACCCCATGTCGTTATGGTACTGTTGAAATAAAATAAAATTACACTCAAATACATATGAAAATAAGAACCTATGCCTAATGATAATTTGCTAACAGAAAATCTTGTACACATGTATGACTCAAAGATTCTATACACCATAAATTTTAGTCTTATAATTTTGCATGAGCATCACATAATTATAAATAAACATAACAAAAAAATAATAATACTTTCAAAAGAAAAGTATTAAGAATTACTGTTTTGTTATTCAGTCTAGGGTGATATGTTGCATAAAATCAGAAAGCTGGACTGTTCACTTCCTATTGAATGATCTAAACAGTATTTTATTTAAGAGAAGATGAGTATGTACAATTTACTTATTTAAAACTGTTTCTAATTCAAAAAGCCAACAGTCAAGCTGATGTCCCCTGCCGAAATCCCAAAATAAATAGATGACACATATTAATTAATTGCACTTTTATCTTTTTCATAAGTATCGAGCAATCAAACTGATTATCAAATAATAAGTTTCATCAATCTCTATCAGATAGAATCAAAGTCAAAGAAATTGCTTAGCTCTGCTTAGCTTTAACGGGAAATGTTAATCATTGAACTCAGTCAAGACATTTAGCTAATGAACATCAACATCAAGTTTAAACATACTACCTCAATTAAAAGCAGAGTTATTATGTTCCAAATTTAAACATTCTACCTCAATTAGAAGGAGAGTTATTGCGTTTCAAAGTTTCGACCAATCAAATTGCTTATTGCTCTGCTTACCCTCAGCAGAACATGTTCATTATCAAACTTAGTCAAGGTATTGATGTGATGAAACTATACACCAAGTTTCATGACTCTCACTTAATTAGAACTAAAGTTATCGTGTCGCATCAACCAATCAAATTGCTTATCCTTAGCAGACAATTCTTATCTTCGAACTCCATCAAGACATTCACCTAATAAACACCTACACCAAGTGTGAACATTTTTGCTCAATTAGAAGGAGAGTTATTGTGTTCCAAAGTTTCCACTAATCAAATTGCTTATCGCTCTGCTTACCCAGAGCAGAAAATGTTCATTATCGAACTTAATCAAGGTATTGATGTAATGAAACTATACACCAAGTTTGATCACTCTCACTTAATCAGAACTAAAGTTATTGTGTCCCAAAGCATCAACCAATCAAATTGCTTATGTCTGCTTACCCTAAGCAGAAAATGCTCATCTTCAATCTCCATCAAGGCATCGGCCTAATAATCACCTACACCAAGTTTGAACATTCTAGCTCAATTAGAAAGAGAATTGTTGATCCCAAAAGGACGGACGGACACAGACAGACCCATTGTAATAGTCCCCTGCTTTCTTCGAAAGGCGGGGGACAAGGAAAGAACCAGGTGTAAGTAGCATGAATATGATGTAATTACCTATGTTCAGCAGCAGGAATAGAAAATCCAGCAATAGGGCAGCCATAATAATGTTTAGCTGTTAATATACCAGCTATTGTATCTGTACCCATAAAATTCACCAGATGAGACATACCACCAATACCTGCAGACTAATCAAACACAATTGTTTTTTTAATAAAATAATTTCAACAACCTGAACAAGAGCAATGTGTTGATTGAAATGGTAGTTTTTAAAACAAAGAGATAGAAATATGAAATGGCTGCAGTAACTGTAATGCTTAGAATTGTGGCCTGTAGGCGATATACAGACACACACATTTATTTAGGATAGAATAGTTCTTTTCTACCAATAGTACAAGTCCTATTATAGTCATTGATTGAGATCATATTTAATCAAGTTACAGATGCCTTACACAATTTCTGACCTTCTGTAAAGATGGAATTCACAGATGTAGCTAATTCACACCTTGGCTAACAGTTTGTAAAGGTTGACTTTACAGATGATGTACAGGACTTCTGATCTTTTGTTGAATTTACAAATGCAACAAAATCACAAGTTTGCTGACCTTTTGTAATGAAAGAATTTACAGATGCAGCAAAGTCACAAGATTGCTGACCTTTTGTACAGATGGAATTTACAGATGCAGCAAAGTCACATGATTGCTGACCTTTAAAATTGGTAACAGTAGAATATAAAATAGTGACTGTAACAAATCAATTTATAATATCTTCAATTCAGATAATAAGGTTAAATACATTTATAAATGACCAGATGAAATATTAATTTTTCCTTTGAAATGACCAAGTTTCTCTGAAACAATGAATATTTTTTAAAAAATCTCTGAAAATGCCAAATTATTTTTCTTTTCTCTCAAAACGCAAATTTTTTCTTTTGAAAGTGCAAATGGTTTTCTTTAACCAGTGGCTGCCAGGCAGGATACGCCCACATTTTCGAGAGATGGATAGAGAACAAGCTAAAAAGAAAATGATTTTTCCTACAATCAAGGACCATAATTCAGGAAATTCCAATTCGATATGCGCAAATATCGAAAGGAACCGAGATCTTTGTTATAAACTTACATTTCAAGTTTCAACAAAATCGGATTAAAATTGTGACCTCTATAGGGTCCACAGCCTTGATATACTATATTTTTACGCTATTTGAGAACGAAGGGCGGCCATTTTGTCGGTCAGTTTTGGGCCGATTTTCATGAAATTCGAACGCAGGCGTCCTTAGGGTGTAACGGTGATATAATAATACGTTTTTTTTTAAATCGGATAAAAAATATGACCTCTATAGGGTCCTCTATAGGGTCCACAACCTTGATAGACCATATTTTTACGCTATTTTAGAATGGACGGCGGCCATTTTGTCTGTCAATTTTGGGCCAATTTTCACGAAATTTGAACTCAGCCGTCCTTAGGGTGGAACAGTGATATAATAATACAGTTTTTTTAAATCGGATAACAATTATGACCTCTATAGGGTCCACAAGCTAAAAACGCGATTTTTCGTACAATCAGGGGCCCTAGTTCAGGAAATTCCGGTCCGATATGCACAAATATCGAAAGGAACCGAGATCTTTGGGTTATAAACTTACAGTTCAAGTTTCAACAAAATCGGATAAAAAATGTGAACTCTATAGGGTCCACAACCTTGATATACCATATTTTTACGCTATTTGAGAACGAACGGCGGCCATTTTGTCTGTCAATTTTAGGCCGATTTTCACAAAATTCGAACTCAGCCGTCCTTAGGGTGTAACGGTGATATAATAATACAGTTTTTTAAATCGGATAAAAATTATGACCTCTATAGGGTCCAAAAGCTAAAAATGCGATTTTTCGTACAATGAGGGGTCATAATTCAGGAAGTTACGGTCCAATATGCGCGAATATCGAAAGGAACCGTGATCTTTGGGTTATAAACTTACATTTCAAGTTTCAACAAAATCGGATAAAAATTGTGACCTCTATACAATCAGGGACCATAATCCATGAAGTTTCGATCCGATACATGCCAATATCGAAAGCAGCCAAGATCTTTTGGGGATAAATCTATATTTCAAGTTTCGTCAAAATCGGATAAGAATTGTGACCTGTAGAGAGTCCACAAACAATTGTGGACGGACGGACAAGGACGACGGCATAATACGTCCACATGAAAATGTGGGCGTATAAAAATGCAAACAGTTTTCATTGGAAGTATCAATATGTTGTTTTTATTTTCTTTTACATAGTTATTTACTCACTTCCATTGACGATGTTCCTCTAAAACCAAAATCATGTAATTTAAATGGCAGTCCATCCAGATTATCTGCTGTTTCATCTAAATATTTAGCTATAATTTCTTTCTGATACCGAGAATTGGTAGCAACCGTCATCGGATACCATGCCTGTACTAACAGCGTCTTTTTTTTTAAAAAAATCATTAAGAATCCAATTAATATATATTTAAGAATAAGATGTTTTACATGAGGTTGCAAGCTATAATATTCTGAAAGAAGATTCTCTAAAATAGTTCAATTCCATTTAGTATTTACAAAGATCGGGATCAATGACTTTAAGGGTTATTCGATCATAGAAGCCTTTTTAGTCATAAAGACCAGAGAGAACATGGCAAATTGAACAATCATGTCCACATGATAGTTGGACCAAGTGGTGGTCTTCTCTCTTGTGTCTGTGGAATTCTTCAGTTTTGTGTATTTATTCTATAATGTTATATTAGCTCACCTCTAAATAATTTGTCAACCAGTAACATTCTGGGTCGGTATTTTCTACTGTAAATAGGACATTTTTAAATGGAACAACACTACCTTCAGGTACAGCATTTATTCTTATAGGTAAATAGCCTTTGTGATGCTGAAAAATAAAATGGTAAAATATTGAAATATCAGAATTAAAATGTGATAAATGAAGAAGAACTGCCTTCAAATGTTAAAATAAATAAATCTAAATACTGGCACTACCGGTACCGTGTACCATAAAATTAAACCAAAGGATGTCATGAGATATTAACATTAAAATAACTTTTAACTTCATTAATTATCTTCTTCAAGCCGAATTTAACCATATTAACTATTTACATCTGAAGAAAACTTTTTTGGTAAGGATTCTTTCACTAAAGGCATTTTAAATTAAACTAAAAAAACATGTATTCTTTATTTTGATAAAAAAAACCCAACAAATTATTATATTTAAATTATATTTAAAGTTTACCTCGGCAATGTATGTCCATCCTTTTTCGTTAAAATAATCATTACCAAAATGAAGTTTATACAATTCTTTCGCTTCTTGAATCTTCTCTTTTGTTACAACTGGACCATCCAACCATCTTTTTAAAATATATTGAAGACCAAAGAAACAGACTTTAGGGAATTTACCACCTCTACTTTCAAAATATGAATAGACTTTAGTTGTATTTGGTGGATACTGAAAGTGATGTGTAACCTACAAAAGATAATCAAAGTTGTATTGCCAACAAATATGTTGGTTCAAATCGACCTATTCTCTGTCCACCTGAAGTTTACATTATTGTGTATAGATTTCATGTTAACATCTGGTTCCATGAAAGTCCGGAAGCATTCACTAAGATCAAAGTCAATTTGTTGTATTTACATCTTTTGTTCTAATCTGTTAAATTAGCTTGTAAATATTTTTTGTAAAATCCTATTCTGTTTGTGTTGAATTAAAAGAAGGAAATGTTTTCTTTTAATTTTCTGTTGTGTTGCTTTGCTACTTAAGAAATAAAAAAGTAAACTGAAAAAATAGGCCTATTTTTGGACTAAATTGTAGGTGAGAATTAAAAAAAAAAGTTATTTTATGTCGATACCAGACCAGTGCAGAAAGATGTCTAAATACTATAGTCAGTATAAAATCCATATAAGCCCAGATATCAAAAAATCAATGGATGAAAGATACACAATTTTTAAGAAAATAGCCTACAAAATAAAGGTAGGTTGTCACATGCTAAGTCGCCTGAGCAGTCCACAAGGTCACATTATTACAATAAATTACAAGACATTAAACACTGACCAAGAGAAGAGTAACAACGCATGAAGTAATTATCGTTCGGAGCAGAACAGTAGGACATTAAACCCCATTTCATTTCATTTCTTTTTATAGTATGTGAGAGAGAGAGAGAGAAATGGGGTTTAACGTCCACTCGACACAAACTAGGTCATTTCGGGACTAACATATGGTTTAATTTTATTTCAAAAATTCGCTTGCGCGTAGGGGTCTTTAGCAGTGGGAGGAAACTGGAGGACCTGGAGAAAACCCACGAGATTGGACAGGCGACCCTACTCCTTGTCACGTACATTTTATAGTATGTAATATGTACAATGAAATGTATTAATTAAAGTAAATTATTCAACTGATAATTGTATAATAGGCAAAATTATTTTTAAACTTCAAAAACAGTAATTGCTTCCTTCCAAATTAAATCAATGAACTTTTAAAAAAATATTTCATCATTGTTGATGCACTAACCTGTGGTCAAATCACTAAATGATGGGATTAATGGATTAGTACTTAAATTACAACAAACAAGCCAAGTGTACGACTTATGTGATAGAAAATGGACTTAAAGAGGCATTATTGTGCTTTGGAGGTCTTGGTTACTGGAAAAAATTAATTTCGATTTGGCATGATTTGACAACTTGAGTTACATCATGCATGTTCAAATTAGATATGCAATATCTGTGAACAATAACTGTGATAGATATAAGCATTTTAACAGTCAATTTGCGGGTTATACAAATTGCGAAGTGTTTTTTAATGGACTCTATAGATCAGTGCTTGTGTTTTAAAGTCATTTTGAACACAATATTCCAAATTAGTTAAATCTATTTTCTTGATGAAAGTGATAATTCCTCTTTAAAGTTACATCTATAAAAACTTAATAACTGTAATAACTTTGTTAGCTTTTTGTATCATTAGTTAATTGTTTTTACCTTGTAAGAATCAGTTGAAAGTATAATATTGCTTGGATCCAATGGATCAGTTGCATTCTGGGCATTTTTCCAGCGTTGATACATTTCAAATATTTATTATAAATAAACAGTTGTAGCTACTATTATTCCAGCCAATGAAAAAAAAACACAAAAAAAAATGTTGGCGGCAATAATACAGATCTGGCCATCTTTGCTCTGTTGCACGAGAGATTATCATATCGTCATTTAAAATATGCATAGTTCTAATATCAATGTACAGTTAAATGTCCTATTTAAGTTTGCATTGTCTAACTAATATGTGCCTTCTGTTCAACATGTATACAGGTCACAATTCTATGGAATACAATTACTGCTTCTTACCTGTATTGTATTCCATAGAATTGTGACCTGTATACTCCAGTTCAATTACTAAATGCCATTGAAACAATTTGTTCAACATGATCTCAGAGATCTAATGCAATGTAGGGAAATAAATAGGACTATATATACAGAAACTTTAGCAACATGTTATCTTTTATACAGTAGGGCCCAATATATAAAATGTGGAATTAATAATTCACTAGTATTCAGGTCTCTACATGTTTCTGTTCAATGATTATTCTGTTCATACACTTCAAAGACAAATGAGACAAAATGGACACATAAACTTATATTAGATTCAGTCACCATGGTTCATGATTTGGAGAGAGAGAGAGAGAAATGGGGTTTAACGTCCACTTGACACAAACTAGGTCATTTCGGGACTAACATGTTTTTTTTGTTTGTTTTTAATTTTATTTCAATAATTCGCTTGCGCTTAGGAGTCTTTAGCAGTGGGAGGAAACCGGAGGACCCGGAGAAAACCCACGAGGTTGGACAGGCGACCCTACTCCTTGCCACGTACTACCTGGGATTCGAAACCACGCTATTCGACTCAATGACAGACTTTATGATACAGCGCGCGCACGCTAACCATTCAGCCATCCAACCCCCCTCATGATTTGGAAGAAACATGGTTCAAAGATAGTAATGCATACATATTTGCTCTGTTATTTATGTAATGTAGGCCATACATGTATGTATGCCTGAAATGTGTCTTTTATGCATTGCTATTAAATATCTTATTCTTATCTATTCTATACATACTTCAAATAGATCTACTAGTTTTTAAACATTTTTTTAAAAAGTTATCTTTCATTTCCATTTTAAAAATAGATAAATATTTGTTGGGTGTGGACTGAAAATTTTAATTTTACTTTTCAAACTTCAGCTTTATCACCAGTTAATTCAAGGAATTTGTCAATTTCTTCTTACATTTAAAATATGGCCTTTATGTAATTAAATGTCTGTTTTTAACTTCCTGTTCACAAATGACAAAACAAAAATATTTTTGGGGGAAGAAAAATAAAATCAGCTTCTTTTATTACTATTACGCCTACAGTATGACAAGATTTCAATGATATCCAGTAACAAATGATTTTTTTCCAAAACAAAAGTAACAGGTACACAGAATCGATTACGTAAAAAAAACAAGGAAGCTTTTAAAATTTATTAAATTCAACTTGAAACTGCATGTTTTACATGTGTGAGAATTATACAATGCCGTACGTAGAGACTAAAATAAAGTATAAAGTTAAATAAATGAATATTTTTTCAAGATTATGAAAGATTTTTTTAATACCTGATAGGTTGCACCTATTAGATAAATTCAACTAAAAGACTGGCCCTATATATATAATTTTCCCAATTCGTCCGTTTGTTTAGCTACTACTTTCGGTTTCAATTTGACATCATTTCAGGAAAACAAAAGAACTTTTATAAACGTCTTGCTTTGCGTCGATTCACTTGACCGGAAACAAAATAATTGATCACTTAAAGCCTCATGCAAATAAATCAATAGGCGTTATAATGATTCCGTGACAGACAATCACAATACTTTGCGACATTTATCGATGATGAGATGCTGGTGGTAACTAAACGATATCGCCATCAGTAACCTGGGTTGGGTTTTCTCCGAATTGAACACTGACAGTTATAATTTTAAATGAGAACCAACGGCCCAATTGTACAGTTAAATTACATGATCATAACAGTTTCTTTGTGTGGAATGTGTGACAGTTGACAATGTCTTCGTGTTACTTACTTTATAAGAATCGGTAACAAACAGTATATTGTCAGTTCCTCCAGCTAAGAACGTCGCCATTTTGGACGCTATGTGACGTCATAGCAACATGCAGGTGCGCGTTAAATACAAATTCTGAGGACTAAAAATAGTAACGTACTTCATAGTCTTGTTCATCAAGTCGTATGCTTTAATAGTCCGTGAAAAGCCCGACAAAAAAGATCCAATAACCATGACTTGGGAGTTTTTCGCAATAAACGTTAAAACTTATGCAATTTAAACGTATCTTTCAAATTATTGCTCTTCAGCATCACACGTTTCAAGTTCAAACAAGTTATTAGGATATCATTAGGGCTTTCCGCGAAGCAATTTTATGTCATGGAAAGGTTTTTTTATATATATCATCTGATCCAGTGCGGAGAATTGAGACTCCTCATATTCATAGTCATTGCAAACACTGCCCATACCGAAAACTCGGAAAACTCGGTAATATGGGAAATAGGTATTCCGAGTTTTATCATTTCAGGCGCGGAACCTAGATTTTTTGCAACGGGGGGGGGGGGGGGTCTAGGTTGGATAATTGCTTAACTCATTGCGGTGGGCGGAGTCCACCGCCACGAGCGCCGAAGTAGCTAAACGTTGTAACGGGGAGCCTGGGGGCCTAATTGGTAAATTAGATTCAATTTGGTGCATTCTGCCGTATTTCCGGAAGGTAAATTCCAAAATTACAGGTCTAAAAATCGCCAATAAAATCGCATAAAATGTTGATGGGGAATAGTTATGTATCAAATTTTTTAAAAATCTTATAAATTCCGCTAGCATGTTTTTTTTTTAGTTTTTTTTAAATTTGATAAAATAAATGACCAGGTTTTTTCTCTTATCGACGCTGCCGATAAAATTAAAAAGCAAACACAACAATATTCAACGTCAACAGGCGAACAGCGTTAATAAAACTCTTTAAATTTCAATAAACTTATATTTTCATACAGTAGGCCTACGGTATTAAAAAATTGCCGACGTCAATAGGCGATTTGCCGTGGGGTCAATTGGTCCCGACGGCAATTAATGCTGTCGACGTTTTTGACTAATTGCCAGAGCTGTATATGTGACTATTTGTTTTTGCCCACAATGGAATGAAAGTCATGACTCAACTCAATGTATACAAACTCGCAATTTTTGGGTCAGATTCAAGCTTTTAGATTTAGCCCCTGCCTCTATTTCAGCGACTTTCGCACGTCTCTTTTTTCATTGTGAAGCTATGGCATAGGCTATGGTGTAAAAAAGCTAAGTCGGCTTCATAACAACACGTTGTCCTTAAACAGAGGCGAATAGCCTTCGCATCATTTTTCTAAATTATATTTTATTTACAGAATGACTTTTATATCTTCTGTTTTAAATAGACAAATCTACAGTATATAAATAAATCATTACAACTATAATTATTTATCATATATAACTCCTGGTATATCCCTCCGCCCCACCCCCTCCCGTTCCCAACAAATCATCAACAGTAAACAGCAACAAAAGCCAAATCAAAAGTGTCTTATGAGTCCTACTGGTCTATAAAATATATTAAGTACGCTTATACATATATATCCGACGTGGTTTCCCCTTGTCAATTGAAAAAAGCAATTTAAGCATCACATACAACCCTATAGCTACGAGAAGGTCGCTAAAAAAAATGAAAAGAAAATGAAACATTGATGTGATGGTTGTTAGCTACGATTCGTTGCGTTTATTTTCACCTGGCAAATTTAAGAGCGTGTCCGCGAGAAAACCATGCAGAAGGTGCTAAGGCTTCAATCACAGATTTTGACCAAATTTGGTTTATAAGTTGGGATAGTCCCAAAACACATAAATGTGCAATATTAGATAAATCTTTCAATTCCTGTATGAGAAAATTGAAAAAACATTTTTCATATGGTGAAATTGCCAAAATCTGTCTTTTCTCAAATACCAACTTTGGCAAGTCCTTACACCTTTACTATACGTAGCAGAAAGACCAAACTCACACAGTTTTTCGATGACTCAGTGCTGTTACCACAATATTAACTTCAGACGATTTTGGCGAACGAGATCTGTATACGGACTGGATATCAAAGCCTGTCTAAATTCCCCATTTTTCGTCACCCAAAGTTTGACGCCCTATAGCTACTTCTTTCATGGGGTGGGTTTAAAAAATTTATGCTCACGTGAACAAGCAACCTCCCAACATTTGATACAAAAAATAAAAATGACCGGAATCGACTTGACAAAAACTAGGTAAAGGAAACAATAACCCATAAAATTAACCTGTAATTTCCCTATTTTGGAGATAATTAACCGTAGTAGATAAAAAAAAAAAATAACAATTTATTTTCCTTTTCATTCATATGGTGTTTACTACCAGCCCTAAAATACATTAGTATCTGTTTTATAAAAATATCTTGAAAAAAAATACTTTCAAAGGCCTGTAATCGTTCATGGCTCATCTGGCGTCAACGGGAATTGACTTCTGCAGTTGTCCACGGCCTTCCATTGGAGTTTCGACGTGCTCAATCTTAACAAACATATCCATTACTCTCCAATAGACATTATTTTAAATAAAATAATCCAACGAAAATGAAAAATTCACCTAAAAGTGAGATTCGAACCACCAACCGCATGACTTCCCCCGACCCACCCTCTCACCGAGTTGCTTGTCCCAGGGCCCCAAGGTCCATGTCGTGGGCCCTGTTCAGGGGGTTTGCCTAGGGCCTCTCTTATTCTAAATCCGGCCCTGAAGGTGCAGCTGACGGTGCCCGAGAGCTGTAGCTACCATACTACACTGTTCAATGTCACCCACTTCGACGCAATTAGGCTTCGTTGCCGTTAATATTTAAGCTTCCACATTTCTGTATTGTAGAAATCAGTGGATATGTCCCAAAATGAATAGTGGAAACATGCTCTGAAATTAAACAGACAGGGTCAAAATTAGAAGGTTGCTATTCCACCATAGAATGCAGTCTGTGCTTAAAAAAGGGGTCGGAAGTTTTTGATCAAACTTATGGTATGACACCCCCTAGGGGCAAGAGGTAACATGCTGACGTGGTTACAGTCTGATGTCGCTCTAAAGGACTGTACAGGAATTATTCATTTTATGGGTAAAATTGCGGTTTTCACATGTGTATTTATCACCTTTTTTAAGCACAGACTGCATTCTATGGTGGAATAGCAACCTTCTAATTTTGACCCTGTCTGATAAAGCGGGTGGTCAACTTCGACCCCAGCACTAATTTGAAAAAATAAATCAGTACATACTAATTTTAAGTGGACTTGTTTTAGGGTACCATATTCACATTGTCCTTATAGTGCAGAAAAAGATACACTGTAACTTTTTCTTTCATGGTCGCAAGTAGAATTTCTTTGGATGGTTTTGAAGTGCTAAGCACATAGTATCCATAGGTGTAAAAAAAACGACCGGAATGCAACATACTTAAAATATACAGCTTATTGAAAAGTGCTAAAAAAAAAAGCTTTTGTGATACAGTGTTTTGCGAATTTAATTAGAGAAATAAAAATTTTGACTTTTATACGTTTTCATCATATCCATAGCCATTATTTGTACCATGTTGTACTCTATATAAGTGTGTATTTGTATTTATTGTATATTTGGTATTGTCGTATTGTCCCTTTAACATATTTGTTGTATTGTCTCTTTAAGATTTCATTTTCAAACAAGTTACCGAAAATGGCTACAAAATGTTTAATTTCAGAACGTTTCCACTATTCATTTTGGGACACATCCACTGATTTCTACAATACAGAAATGTGGAAGCTTAAATATTAACGGCAACGAAGCCTAATTGCGTCGAAGTGGGTGACATTGAACAGTGTAGTATGGTAGCTACAGCTCTCGGGTACCGTCAGCTGCACCTTCAGGGCCGGATTTAGAATAAGAGAGGCCCTAGGCAAACCCCCTGAACAGGGCCCACGACATGGACCTTGGGGCCCTGGGACAAGCAACTCGGTGAGAGGGTGGGTCGGGGGAAGTCATGCGGTTGGTGGTTCGAATCTCACTTTTAGGTGAATTTTTCATTTTCGTTGGATTATTTTATTTAAAATAATGTCTATTGGAGAGTAATGGATATGTTTGTTAAGATTGAGCACGTCGAAACTCCAATGGAAGGCCGTTGACGCCAGATGAGCCATGAACGATTACAGGCCTTTGAAAGTATTTTTTTTCAAGATATTTTTATAAAACAGATACCAATGTATTTTAGGGCTGGTAGTAAACACCATATGAATGAAAAGGAAAATAAATTGTTATTTTTTTTTTTTATCTACTACGGTTAATTATCTCCAAAATAGGGAAATTACAGGTTAATTTCATGGGTTATTGTTTCCTTTACCTAGTTTTTGTCAAGTCGATTCCGGTCATTTTTATTTTTTGTATCAAATGTTGGGAGGTTGCTTGTTCACGTGAGCATAAAATTTTTAAACCCACCCCATGAAAGAAGTAGCTATAGGGCGTCAAACTTTGGGTGACGAAAAATGGGGAATTTAGACAGGCTTTGATATCCAGTCCGTATACAGATCTCGTTCGCCAAAATCGTCTGAAGTTAATATTGTGGTAACAGCACTGAGTCATCGAAAAACTGTGTGAGTTTGGTCTTTCTGCTACGTATAGTAAAGGTGTAAGGACTTGCCAAAGTTGGTATTTGAGAAAAGACAGATTTTGGCAATTTCACCATATGAAAAATGTTTTTTTCAATTTTCTCATACAGGAATTGAAAGATTTATCTAATATTGCACATTTATGTGTTTTGGGACTATCCCAACTTATAAACCAAATTTGGTCAAAATCTGTGATTGAAGCCTTAGCACCTTCTGCATGGTTTTCTCGCGGACACGCTCTTAAATATTAATGTAGTGTAAAATGAGAACTGACATCATTTTGCCCACCAATTAAGAAGGATTGTGGTCAGTTATTTTTTAAAACTAAGTCAGGGGATCTATAACATGCTATAGATCTACACTGATCCTCATTTTTTTTTACTGTGTCAAAATGACCAGATGTTTTTCCTTTTTCTTTGACATACCACTGCCGTAGAACTAGGAACTTTCTTGTCCAACACTGGACCTCCTTGTACTGAGTCACCATGACTAACTTTTTGGCAAATGAATAATAAGTAAGGTGACCATCAAGCAAATTTCTCCAAAACAAAAACATCCAACATGATTAATTTAAGCCTTTATTTAAATATATATCCTCTTCTTATCGAATCAACAGAAACATATATATTATATAAATACAATAACATCCTTTGCAAAAGATCAATCAAAATCACTGTTCATATAATTTCCTTATATGAATTATAAACATTTTTAAAAAAACCTTAATCACAGCAGTTCATAATACCTATAATAATACAACCATCTTATTTATTATAATTTATATCACAGATATAATTCAACAAATATATTCCAATGGTTATTATGAAACATTAACATATGATAATGTAAATATTTATAATTTGTGTATATAAACAAACTGCATATACAATTAACAAAAAACAAAATAAATAACAGAAAAAAAAATTATATGGCATACAAAAATAAATCTGTTTAAAATTCATACAAAAATGAGTAAATTGTCTACAAATAATAAATATCTAAATTGTCCAAAAACCATAATTGGTAATAATGTTTATGAAATAATGTGTGAAACAATTTCCTTTGATTATAAAAGGGGCCTACTTACTACTTATATATCATATTTTCAAAGCTCTCCATAATACAAATAATGTTGTCTTTCTTTTCATTTTTTATGGATTGGACATTTCAAGTCATACATGTTATGTAGACAATAATTGAATATTATAGTTATTAATGTTTTTGTAATTGCAACAAATCATATCAATGAAAAAAAAGTGGGTAATTATTGGTTATTTAAATTACATAATGACAATGATGTGAGTTATTCTATCTTTGAGGTTAGGCCTACTAATAAAAATTCATAAACCATTTTTTATCACTATTAATATCTGTTGAACAGATACCCCAGAAATATACAAATATATATAAAAAAAAACCTTAACAAACCACCCAATTCACACAAATGACTAATATGAATAATTATTTTAGTATATACATTGAGCAAAATGTCCATGACCATAATCATAATTTATTGCTCAAAATATTATAAATACAGACTTCTATTACAGATTATATGTTTCAAACATATAAAAAAAATTGCAAATCTAATTATGTTCAGAATTATGATGTATATATTATATAGGCATGTCTGATTGGTGGAAGCAGGAATGGGGCTCAGTTTTTATTTAGAAAGATTGAGAGAACAGTGACAGGTGAGAAAATACTCCAAGTCTGCAATGTGATTCAGAATTGCATTTAATAATAACAATAATGAATACACCTATGTGAGGTGATCTAACAAACAATAAACATCAATGATAATTTAAGCAGTGAGGTGGATAAAACTGAGGCAATCAGAACATTATTACAATATACATGTGTATGTAAATACATCACCGACAACTTTTTTGTTGATCACTATTAAAGTATGAAATGCAAAGTTCATACATGTTTTAAATTTTGTACCTTTGTTTGATACTGGTATTTATCAGATAATCAATACATAACTCAAATATCCAGATATCTACTGAAAATTAGATTTATGAGTTGTTATATAGAAAGGATTAGTGTATTTTGAGGTATCAAGATAAACAGAAGTATTATCCTGCGATCTTCCAGGTATTGAGTTTTTAATGTAATATCCAACAACATGAGGTAATGTATCTTTAGTATTGCCAGGTGTCTTAGGATGATGTCGTTTAGAACCAGCATCAGTATATTTTAATAAAACCTTATCCATGTTTACCATTTTATAACTACTACTGGAATACTTTTCTTTAATTTTTCTAATGTTGCTAGCAGCACTCGGTGGTCGTGAGTTCCCTATAGCATCTTTTGAACTAAAGGGTTTAAGGTGAGCACTTTGAGGTCGTGAATTAATAAGATAATCAAGTATTCTATCTCTTCGACATTTACAGTTTGGATTGACAGCGTGAAAGTGTAGATTGGTTCCATAACCACATTCACTGCACATCCGACACCACATTGTTGGTATTAGTTGTGTTAGACCTGTGATAAAACAACAGTATTATATTATAGTGCAGAAAGAAGCAATAATATACAGTTTTATAGCTAAAGCATGCAAGATTTTACATACAGGGTGACCCAACAATAAATATATAATAGCCTTGGGGAAACAATTTATTGTGTAACGTGTAAACTGTGATTCATCATGTTTTTGAAATGACATCGGCCATTCTTTAATCCGAAAGATTTTATTGCTTTTGTTCACAAATTAAAATATCAAACACATATTATGAATGACTTCGGAATTCCCTGTATATATACAAAAGTTGAAAATAATTTTACTAAATTGATTTCTTAAATATATATCCTTAATCAGTGACAAAGAATCTGTCATAATATTCCAAAAATATTTGTTCACAAATTAAAATATCAAACTCATATTATGAATGACTTCGGGAATTCCCTGTATATATACAAAAGTTGAAAATAATTTTACTGAATTGATTTCTTAAATATATATTCGTAATCTGTGACAAAGAATCTGTCATGATATTCCAAAAATGTAAAAGAAAATCAATTGTAAGAAATATAACAGAAATAGTAAAGCCAGAAAAAGCAAAAGGGGAATATGAAACTATACAGAAAAAGAAAAAGCAAAAGTGTAAATTAGAAACAATATATAAAATAAGACAGAAAGTTATGTTTTGAGCTAATATAAAGTCCATACAGCTATTTTCTCAAAACAATTTCAATAGCTGTATTTAATAATTTCCAGCCAATTTTTAGGATTCTTCTCTATTTTTTAGGGGATACTGTTATTTGTAAATAAGAAATCAATTTATACAACAAGTGGTAGTTAATTGGAAATTTTGCACACCCAACCTTTAATAAGAAAAATACACAATTTTAAATAAGGTACTAGTCACATAACTTCAAGCTGAGTTCTTAGAAGAAAGGCTGAGAGTTAATAAATGTATTTAACTAAAACGAATGAAGCAATTTATAGATTTAGAATCCAGATAGAAAAAAAATATATATATCCTAGATAAAGGTACCAAGGTAACAACTGAAAGTAAAGCACAATTTGTTGGCTTTCCGTATCGAGAAAGCACCTTTTTCACACTACACAATAATCATAGAAAGTAGTGAAATTATTTAAAATAAGTAACAAAACCTTTGAAATAAAACAATTCAATAATCTAGTCAAATCTAATAAGTGATTTTGTTACAAGTGAATTCTATTTGTTTAGTTGGTTAGATTTAAGAAAGACATACATAATAGTCTAGCTAAGTTAATCAGAAATTTTTGAAAGGTTCATGATGTACCTTAATTAGTGTGCAGATTGCTTGCTGTGAGATGAAGAGATTTAACCATGACGATTAAAAATATGCACCTTTATAACAGGCAGTTTATGTAGCACCAGATGTGATTGTGATCTTGATCTACTAGACATAGCTAACTTAAGAGGAGTATGTCGATTAACGTAAGGGGATAAAGCTTTTGATTTGACCTTAATTCTTCTTCTACCTTTTAAGGAAATAAATTACAAAGTTAGTTATTACTATCATATTAAAATATTAAATATACTTACACAATAACACCATTTGATTTATATTAAAGACAAATACACATAAGGAAACTTTTAAACAGTAGAATATTTGACGATAAAATAATTCATAAAATACCGATAGTTTCATCAAAATAAAGTATTTCTTTGAGACTAATAATAAAGGAAATTTCATAATTGGACAGCTTCTAAGGCATAAATGATAGTATGTGTTCTGAAACCAATAGTCAAATACTTTGTATAAACTTAAATACCATTTGAAAACTGTCCCTTTCATGAACAATAAATAATGAATAAACACATGTAACATTAGAGGTGATTAATGTTAGGTGCATGTTTGTTTAGTGACAAAAGGACAGTACAAACAACAGACCAACAACAGTATGCATGTGCAATGAATAGTTATCAGAATAAAATATCTAAAAGGAAAACACACAAAAAATTTACTATCTGCCTGCCATCATTGCATTTAACATTTGTAGGATGGGGTTTAATATTCCTAAATGCCCAAAGTATTTTCTAAATACTGATTTGAAGTGTCTGTGATTAAACAGAATTAAAATTTCAACCGATTACAGCATTATAGTAAGTAAGGTGAGGAATTTGGAAATATGCTGCTCATAATCTAAACATTTCAGCTTATTTTGAAGTGAATTGTAAATAAAAAAACATAGTAATTAAGAATCTATTATTACCAAAAGAAAACAAGAAAGTACTGCAGGACATGGTTTAAATCCACAAGCATATCAATGCATCATAATGCAATTTCCGAATGTTTTCATGTCTTACTTGTGTGCAATAGTTTGATGTTTACAGTTTTAACTAGTCTATAAATATAATTATTGTTTAATATGTATATATGGCAGAATACCAATTTTGACAGCTAGATATGTACTGATGGTGGTTCTAATTACACGTATAACTATAACAGAAACCTAAAATTTATCTAAAATCTATTTTACTAAAAATATTAACAGTTTAAAATTTATCTAAAATCTATTTCACTAAAAATATTTGTATTCTAATTCACAGATCTAAAATCTATTTCATTAAAAATATTTATATTGTATTACAGAAATCTATAAGCTAATGATGAACACCATGACTTATTTAGTCAAGACATGTACAGTAAGTCATCTTCGCCTGTTTGAATGTCCATTTCACACTTGCTGAGAGTATATATGAAGGAAGAATCTCTGATTACCATTTAATTTTCCTGTTCTCCATTAGAAGTTTTTGCATACAAGGAGTGGCCATTTTGTTCGGCAGCTTCGTTTCGATTTTTCCAAAATTCGACTTCAACCTTCATTAGCGTGGAATGGTGATATATTTAAACATTTTCTTAAAATTGGATAAAAATTGTGACCCCTACAGGATCAACTAGTTAAAAATGTGTTTTTTCATACAATAAGGGGCCATAATCCAGGAAGTTATGGTCTGATATGTGCAATTATCCAAAGGAACTGAGATCTTTGAGATATAAATATATATTTTAAGTTTCATCAATATCAGACAAAAGTTGTGACCTCTAGCGGATCCACAACCTTGGTATTGCATACTTTTTGCACTAATTGCGTTCAAGGCAGCGGTGATTTTATCGGGAAGTTTTGGTCCGATTTAGACGATTTTAAAATCGGATAAAAATTGTGACCTACATAGAGTCCACAAGCTAAAATCACGATTTTTCGTACAATCAGGAACTTATTGTCCGATATGTGCGAATATCAAAGGAACCAAGATCTTTGAGACATAAACATGTTTTAAGTTTCATCAAAATCGGATCAAAATTGTGACCTCTAGAGGGTCCACAACCTTGATATTACATACTTTAACACTATTTGAGTACATAGAGCAGCCATTTTGTCTGGCATTTTTGGTCCGATTTTCACAAAATTTGAAATGAAATGGGGTTTAACGTCCTACTATTCTGCTCCTATACTGGGCTAACGACATTCGAACTTAATCATAATTATGGTGTAACGGTGATATATTTGAACTTTTTTTTCTAAATCAGATAAAAATTGGGACCTCTAGGGGGACCATAAGTTAAAACGAGATTTTCGTACAATCAGGAGCCATAATACAGGAAGTTTTGGTCCGATATGCGTGAATATCAAAAAAAAAAAGCAAGAACTTTGGATTGTAAACATACATTTCAAGTTTCATTTAAATTGGATAAAAACCTATATTTTATGTTTCGTCAAAATCGGATAAGAATTGTGACCTGTAGGGTATTCACAAACAAATTGTGTACGGACGGATGGACGGACAGGGTCAAACACAATATACATCAAAATGAAAATGCGAGAGTATAAAAATCCACAGAATTGTAGGCGTATAAAAAACCACAGAATTGTAGGAGTTGAGTCGACCCCTTAGCAAAACTACTTAAAAGCCAGATTTTCTACCTGATGTCCTTACCATTAAATTGTGATTTTCAATATTCCCATTCAGTCAAATTCAGTTTTTATGTGTTTGAGAGAACTTATGTGCATTAATGTGTTTATGCGATCATGAAAACATCCATTCTCATATGTCATCATCGTCGTGATGTTGTTACATTCAGAATTACATGGTTATTATCAATATTAAAGTGTATCTCTAAAACAAGATTTCTAAACAGCCTGCATTTTCATTATGTCTCAGTAGGCTATATATTCTTTAAAAAAAATTTCTGTTGAATAATTTCTGAATAGTCTTGGACTGATTTTAATTCTACACTAATGATCAAATCAACTGAAGATATGTTTGTTCAAGATCAAGCGTGCAACATAATTATCATCACTGACAAGAAAGAATGTTTCCCTTTACACCAAGAGTTATTATCTAAACTATCCAATAAATGAACTGAAACTTAAGCTACAGAAGAGCGAAAAAAAAAATACAAGCTATTATATAATACTAAATATAAACATATAATTGTAAATTATACACTTGTGCTATTTTATATTTAATAAACCTATATAAATTATAATACTAGATATAGGTGTGAATAATACTGCTAGTCTTAAGGTATTGCTTCTAGGAATTAAAAATAAATAGATCTACCCCAATGAATAAACAAAATCAACTTTCTGCATTGATATATACTCATAAAACATTTTGTTTATAAATTTACATTTGAAATAAAATGTCAAAGTTACTCTAGTATTTTAGTGTCAATGATTTTCTCAACCTTTTTCTATAAAATCATTTGATGAATTATCAGGATAATAGATATTACAGTCAAGTGCCATTGGAGCAAGTTCTTAATTAGAATTGTTAAAATTTAAATCTGTTGTGTAATAGTGCTGGCACGATATATCGATGAATCGATGTATCGCGATTCACCGTCCCACGATACCTGTATTGAATCGCGGGATGCCGAATCGATTTTTCACGATTCTTTTTTGCGTTTTCTCAAATATATTATGAACTTTAAAAACTTTAAATTATACACTAAATTTTATTTGAAACAATGACACTTCGCAAACGATGTCCAGTAATCTTGACTCTTGACATGTGTGTTACTATAAATAGCGCACAACCGTAATTACCGTTAGTTTCGTAGGTTTAGATTAGCAACATTTTAACGCCTTTTCGTTTGTTTCCGAATTTTAAAGTTTGTTATAAGGCTTAGTTAATAAAACATACATATTTAAATACATAAAACTACATTTTACTCTAGAATTTTATAAATTTAGAACGTAAATATAATAGATAGTAGCTCTTGTAAAAATCAAAATGGCGGAAAACACAGTTGCAATAACAAATCCTCCAGCGAAATATAAATCTAAAGTTTGGGAAAACTTTGGGTTTTTAAAAGGTGACACAACGAAAGTTGTTTGTAGAATATGCAAAACTATTCTAAAATATTGTTGTAATACAACCAATCTCAGCACTCACTTGACAAGACACCATAGTGGCGACTGTCTAAGTTCGTCTGCTAAGATTAAGAAGACAGCCAGTTCAACCTGCGGTGAAGTTTGAGCTTCATTAAAAACACAATCACATATTTTATTTGTTGTTTTACTGATAAATCTATGACCTAGTTATGAATCGCGATACGTATCGTATCGTGGCACATAAATCACAATACGTATCGTATCGTGACTACAGCCCCAATACCCAGCACTATTGTGTAACAGCCCGAGCAAGTTCATCAACTGAACAGAAATTCTGTAATCTAATCAATAAAATAAAGCTAAAATGACAACAACACTAAAAGTATGGACCTTAAATTTAGTAACTTCTAAAATGAAAAATAGCCCCCGCCCCGACCCCCCAACAATAATAAAACAATAAGCAAGGAAACAAAGACTAAATGATTTATCTATTGTATTATTGTATACTAAATAGCTAACACTAACAATGATTAGGCTTAACAATAAAACTCTGAATGATGATGTACATTTGAGCTATTTCAGAATGTTCACATATGGCAACAAGAAATAGTTACACTAACATGATTTACATATCCCTGTCAACAAAAAACAATACCCCCAAAAATCATTTTAATGTCTGAAACAGCTTAAATATAATTCAACCTCAAAATCTACTGAAATGGATTGACCCAAACAGGACATCTCTAAGTACCCTCAACTGCACCACATGCTCTAGTGGGTCGAAATATGTCTTCTTTTGATTTAGAAAGATTAAACATTTTCAACCTTGGTAAGGTTCTAGTATGAGTTTCATCAAAACTGACATCAACTCCAGCATAGGCTACTTTTGGAAACTTAACAGTTACATGGGGTGGTGGCACTTTAACTAAAGTCTTATTTTTTATTTTCTTAGGTTTCCGTTTCACTTTACTCAAAGGAAACAAACAAGCAGGAATTCTAGGATCAATAATTTTACCTTTTTGACCTTTGACATTTCGAAGGTCAGTTGTTTCCACGTTTTTAACTGTAACTGCAGCAGCTCTTGATTGTTTTTCAGATGGAATTCCAGGAATATTGTAATTCACAGAGACAGACGTTTTGGAAACAATACGTCTATTCCCTACAGCCATGTAAGGTGTCTGCAAACAAACTTTCGGATGAGACGGAGGTTCTGGTACACGATTGGCTCCTCCCGATTTAATGACCTTTGGCGGTGGAACTTCTGGCTGGTTATAATAATACTGTGATCTACTGATACCAGTGTCGCTAACCGAAGACTGTAATTTATAATCACAGCCGCTGGCTTCAACAGACGAGGTCCCTGCTTTTGGCAGCTGTTTCAGCATTGTACTTATATTTGATTTTGATGGAGCACCTTGTACTGGAGATTTTTTGGCCACATTGTCTTTTTTCTGACCAACGTCAGTGAGGGTCAATACTGTTTCCTTTTTTTTAGAATCACTATTAGCTTGATTGTTGCTATTTGAAGTAACACTTTTCAAATCTGGTGATTTTGCAGTCAAATTTTGTTGTGATTGTTTAGGTGAGAAGAAGTCCGTTGATTGGACTATTTCTGGTTTCTTATAGCCTATTGGTTTTTTGATTGCTTGTCCATCAACTTGTAAGTTAATGCCTATATAAGGGGGTACAGACACAACTGGTTGTTTAAAAGCTAACTCAAAACGGCCAATATCACAGTTTCTATCGTGCTTTCTATCTATTACAACTGAAAGGAAGAGCAAGATTATCTATTAAAGAAGTCAGGATGATATAAATTGTTACAATGTACAAAGTCAGTAAATTCTCAAAATCAATGTTGGTTGTGTTCTATAAATTTGTTTATTATTTTACACAAAGCCTTCTTTTATTGCTTGCCACAATAAAAATAGTATTTTATTGCTTGCCACAATAAAAATAGTACTAGTGCTGGCACCATATATTGTCGAATTGATGTATCGCGAGTCATCTTCTCACGATTCGAAAGAGAGAGAAAGAAATGGGGCTTAACGTCCACTCGACACAAACTAGGTCATTTCAATTTAAGAATTGCTCAAATTTGTATCTAGTCCAGGCCCTAAAATTGCACTGACTATATTTTTATCTTGAGGGCTACAAACAAGGGACTGGAATATATGCTCAACTTGTTTGCTCAATTTAAGAATGCTCAGATTTGTATCCTGCAGTATGCATAAATGAAATGGGGTTTAACGTCCTACTGTTTTGCTCCGAACTGGGCTAATGAAGACGGAGTAGGCATAAAATTAATCATTTTTCTGTTTAGGGCTACATACAAAGGACTGAATTTCGAGTTAAACTTTAATTGAGCACAATTACTTACAATATCAACTCAGAAAAGTGGTAATATTTTACCTTTGATTGTATCATCTAAAACACTATTACACATCCTAGCTGTAACAGCAGTACTGGCCTCCATACTTGGTGAAGAATTGATCTCAATTAACCATGGATGATAATTTTCTGTTAGCATAAAATCAGCTCCATACAATTCAAATGATGACTGAAATAACCCAACATCAAATTAAATTACATCAGTAATTGAAATAATATAACAAATTAAAGCCAATCAGTCTACTTTTCGATTAACTTGTTTGAGTGGTATTTAGGAGCCACTATGAATCTATTAACTGTTTTCTTGCATCCAATAATTATACTTGACAGCTGTTAGCCAGTTACAGTCACAAAAATAAGGGCTGATTTTCTGGAGACTTTTACTCTGTTAAACAATTGGAGGAATCAGAGTATTATTGTCTCACGCCAAAAACAAAATTGAAACATATCCTAATCCTTTGATTGCTACAATTCATAGTAATTAATTATTACTTAATTTTTCAATACTGACCATATGTCATCAGATGTTTGTTAAAAAGTTTAGTTGGCACTCTATGTAAGACTATTAATAATAGCATTATATTGTATCTTTAACTATTTATTGGATTCACACACTCTATAGAAGTCAGATCTCATGCATTCAAACAATGAGTGATGGATTTACACATAAATTAGAGTTAAAATTTGGTAAACCTTTAATTCTGGGTTAATAACAAAATAAAATGTGTGACACTTCTGGTTGTAAGTTTCCACTGTCCATACAAGGGTGGTTTTCGATGTCATAAGGCTAAAACCAATCATTATAATTAATTACGTCATATTTGACTCATTAGATAATTGAAGGTCCAAACCCAAAGCTACAAAGCTGTCATATCTCTGGGCATTCGTCAGATAGCCACTCGATTCCAGGGGATAAGATGTAGAAATTTCTATCAGTAGACTCACCCCAGCAAGTCTGGGTGGAATGGGATTGAGAGAATGACTTTATTGTAATCTATGCTTGTATCTTATGTAACCTGTGCTTGATATATAAAATACAGAAGCAAACTGTCGCATTGTTATTCCTGGTAAGATAAACGTCTTAACTACTGAGATAGTAAGAAGAAAATACACAATGTGAAAAGGAAGCCAAAGAAGACAATTAAAAATACTAGACGATCACAAGGCTATTAAAATATGTAGCAGAGATGAGAGTATGCATCACACGTTGGATGTGGGGAGTTTTCTTCTGGTGTATTTTCCACATCTAGCCAGCGAATAGATGTCTATTTGTTTTAACAATTTTGTTTGATAATATTCAGAGTTGTGCACTTTTGTAATAACATCCAAATATCATGTGATCCTTTTGAAAAATTATTAGAAAAAAGAAGTCTATTTATTTTGAATGAATGTTTTTTCTGAGGGAAAGATTTGAGATAAATATACCTTTCTATATTCTATCAGATCTTGAGCTGTTAATAAAGCACACTGAATAGCTTTTTTCATACCAGGATAAATTAGTTCTTCCCATAAATTATCTTGCTTCTTCGATCTGGAAGATAAATTTGTTGCTCAAATAAGTCAAGATTATACTTTGATATATAGCTTACTGAATATAATCCATTTTTAATCCAGGTTTCTTGTATCAGAGACATTTGTCAGTCTTGATTGACTGACAGTTTACATGTCATGAAATTATAGTTTTATGTTTAAAAATAATTCTATATATATATCTAAAAAGTTGAGATGAAGTTAAATATGGTCATATTTTCTGAACACATATTGACCGACTTGAAAAATTTTGAAATGACAGCCCTGTCCATCACTGATGCCAACTTGTTTTAATTATTATTTATCACATTAATTGATATCATCTACTTAGCTTACTTAAGATAATCTTTAAACTGTTCATGTGTCCACATATTATCAGATGGTAGAGATGTAGATCGAGGGCCATTTTTATAATGTTTCTGTATGGCATTGTTTGATAAATGGATTGATTCATCAAAATCATCTAGAGTATATTGTTGAGAACAGAATCTAAGATAACTATCTTGATAGAAATATATCGTTAGAGGATTCCAATCTGTCACCAAAAACCACTGTCTTATATCAAACTTAGTATTATAGATTAATAATGGCCGTTCTAAAAAAGAAAAAAAAAGATAACATTAGTCACATGGAAAATACATTTATTTTTAGCTTTTTCAAGTATCTTTTAATATTCTATGCAAATTTCCACACTGTGCGAAAGAAAAATAGGGTTTAACAACACAGTCAACACTATTTATATCATTCTGGAAGAAAAGTGAAAATATTAGACAGGTGACCCAACTCGTATCCATGGCCATGCATGGGATCGAACCATAGCTTGAATAGATAAACAGCCCTTGTGAAATATGCATATCAGATCACTTGAATGCCCTCCCAGTCCCCTTCCTCACCAAATTAAATTTAAATGAATAAATACTAAAGACATTAATATTTCAGAAATGCATTCTTCAGTCTAAGCATGGAATATAAGAATAATGAAATCTAAAATATATTAACCAAGATTTCTTACCTATATATTTCTGCACTACATATTTACTATCTTTTCTAACAACTTGAGAACTGACTAGTTTTAACATATCTTCTAATTTATCATAACACACAATACCTGAAAAAAGATATAAGTACGATGTTGGAAATAATTGTTTTCATTAAAATATGTGAACAAAATTCTGTGTCCTTTAAAAACAGGGGCGTAAAAGTTTTTTTGAATCCACTAGCCCAGGGCTAGTAGTCCACTGTCAAGCACTAGCCCAGCATTAATATCTACTAGTCCATAGTTTGACAAGGTACAAGATTTAATCTTCAATATTTTGGCATATGTTTTGTTGCCTGCCAACCTATTGGTTAATAATTAAGGATGTATACGCTACTCGGTTAACCGGTCACGGTTCGGTTGCACTGGTGAAACGGTTCAAAAAACTACAATCCGATATTCGTTTTCATATAATATCTGACCTTCAAAACCAGGAATGGTAGCCACAACAATGTTTTCTTTCACTAAAGACCATATAAATACTTCATATATAGCACATGTCATTTATAATATATCACGGTAAATTAACATACTTTAATTCCCACTCGAAGATTTGTATATATGTTATGTTATTATTATTAGCACTTACTGATTGAAAAATTAATTGTTTTACCGTATTTATTTAGCAGGTCACTCTATAAAGAGTCTCAAAATGAAACAAATCAGTTTGATGTGCTGATATAAAATTAAAATAGAGAGGATTGTAAAATTGTTTATGTTATCACTCAAGTGCAATGCAGCGTGCCGATAGGGTCAAAGTTGATGACACACGGGTCACTGGAACCATTCATCATGGCGTGTGTGTAATGAACATGTGTAGTAAATTCTTTGGAAATACCTGACATGTTAAATAATCAAAATTATCTTGTATTTAAAAATACAAAGGTATGCTTTCAAATATTTATGTCAGAACTAATCTAATATAAAGTATAAGTGAGTCTTTTGTTTTTAAATCAATCTGATTTCAACTGGTTTATGCGTGTCCTGTCAAAGTGTGCAAGATGGAGAAATGAAATGTCAAGAATGAATTAATAGAAGGGGTACAAAAAATGTCCATATGGCTCTAAGTTTTACTACAGAAAATCTATTGTTGTGATTGAGTTTTCCTTGGAATTTGAGAAATAAATGTGGGATGTTTTACAGCTTATTTATCTATATCGTCACTAGTTTAATTCATAAACCGGTGAAAGGGCACTAGCCCAGGACTAGTACGGCTAAATAGATCACTAGTCCGTAAGTTATTTTTGGTAGCCCCGGGCGTCGGGCTAGTGGATTTTTACAACCCTGTTTAAAAAGTATTAGTTCTACATCTTACTGTAAATAATCTTTTCTCCAAATCACTACATCATACTTAACCATAATATAACATATCTATTGAAAAGGATGACATTACTTTAAAATGTCTTTACTATTAATTTATCCTCACCCCTTCCTCTGGACTTAGCACCAGGTTTAACAATCCACACATTCTTAACACCATCTAATTCAAACTGTGGACATCTAGCCTTTAGTCTATTCATTAAACTATCACATTTCTCTATTAATACTTGTGGTACTGACATTATAACACCATCATCACTGAAAATATAGAACATCCTGGTGGGTAAGATAGTATCATATCATCATCCCAGAAATACAGACCATTATTTTATTAATACCTGTGGGGTACTTCCACAATATAACACCATAATCATTGAAATATATCATTGCCACTGACTGAAGCATAGAAGAATTTTCTAGCAGTACTTGTGGTATGGACAATATAACACTGTCACCACTGAGGTATAGAACAATTTCAAAGCAGTACTTAAGATACTGGCAATATAACATCAACACCATTAAGGCATAGAACAATTTTCTAGCAGTGCTTGTGTTACTGACAATATAACATCGTCACCACTGAAGTATAGAACAATTTTCTAGCAGTACTTATGATACTGACAATATAACATAATTACCACTGAAGTATAGAACAATATCACTAAGATATAGAATATTATCCTAGTAATACATTTGGTACTACAAACTATGCAGGGTTTTTAATTAACATTAAAATACACATTATACTTACTGTGCAAGATTATAATACCATTGTAATAACTGATCCCATTTTTCCTCGCTCAAGCAAGCAGTCTAGAAGATAAAAATCAAATAACGTTTTTAAAATATCACTTAATATATACTTCAGCCTAATAGATTTAGTTTTACTTACCAAAGCTATAATTCATTTCAAGGGGCTTCATCCTAAATGTTATTATTATTAGCCTAACTTTTCTGGTATTTGTGGCCATTTTGTTAGGCAGAAACCCCACTTAAAGATACATTATGGGAGATAAACTAATACTAGATAATGTAAAGGCAATTTGCTGAAAATTTCAGTCAGATTGATCAACTATGAACCAAGAATTAAGCGATTGAAATTTCGGCCTAGCCTCGATCATCATTACTAAAGTCTGTACGATAAAAAACATAGTCTCGATCATCCATTTCATTATTAAATTATAAATGGAAGTCGAGCAGCAAATGGGATCATAATCCAGTAAAGTTGATTATGGTCTGGATAAGTTAATTAATGTCTAATTACTAATTTAGATAACATTTCAGGCCTAAAGAAAGACCTGCAATTGGCAGATTTAGCTCTTGCATAATGTATGTTTAAGCCTTGTTTAAAAGTTAAGACATCACGCCTCAACCTTAAGCACATTCTTCATTTATACATACTCTGTAAGACTAAAACTACAAGAGTTATCAAATTTTCACCCTACTTAATTATAAACTTCTTTATGCATATGGTCCCTGATCCTTCCAATTCTGAGATAGCTGAATCAGTCCACGAAATTTCAAATTTTGACGTAACCTCTATAAAAATTTATCAAATGTGAATAAATTTGTTAATGTAACCGATATTTCAATATGCGTAACCAGGTAATCATTCGAGTGTTTTTGAGCTTGCGCGACAGCACATAACAAATTGGTATTATTCGCGTGAAATTTTGTGGCCTGTGAATAGTAATGTTCATGAAAAACTAAATATAAAATCAACCTCATTTGTCTCATCAATATCTTCATGTAAATTAAATCGTAAAAACTTTTCACACTGCATTACAGCCAGCTCTAAAGCTTGAACTGGTACAACCATCTTTTTCTTCTTTTTCTTAGCACCACGTGGAGACGTTTTTGATTCTGCAATAAAATACACACACTATATTCCAGAAGAGAGAGAGAGAGAAATGGGGTTTAACGTCCACTCGACACAAACTAGGTTATTTCGGGACTAACATATGGGTTTATTTTATTTCAATAATTTGCTTGCGCGTAGGGGTCTTTAGCAGTGGGAGGAAACCGGAGGACCCGGAGAAAACCCATGAGGTTGGAATTCAAGAAGAGACTAAACTGGGAGCTACTATGACAAGAGTAGGCACCAGAAAAGCATAAAAGTTTCAATTGAAAGATCAGAAAATTAGGTACACATACAGGTAAAGTTATTTCTTTAAAAAGATCAATATACATAACCTGATGATATATAGTGCCTAAAATAAAATCCAATGTTCATAAAACTTACGAGTTGGATTACCACTTCCTCTAGGAGACAAATTTAATTTCTTGCTTTCATCTAATTTCTTTTCTTCTTCTTTTCTTTTTTCCTCTTTAATTTTAATCTCATCTTCTTCTAAATGAACACATTTGGTGCCATCTTTCGTAATTTCTGCACATTTAGGATCTTTACAACTGGGTTTAACAATCTCCTTTTCAGAATCTTGTGACTGTTTCTCTCTCGATTCGCTTAAATTTTCAGTATCTGGCACTATTTCATTAATAACTGTTTCCTTAGTTACATTTTGTTTATCACCGGTTTTAGCAGACGACTTAGATGTAAGAACCGTTTCAGTGGTATTAGTTACAGAATTGATGTTAATGGTGACACATTTATCGGCACTCGGTTTAGGTTCTATGTTTTGTGTGCTACTATTTACACACACATTGTGAATAATCTTAACTATATTCATACACGCTGATAATCTGTAATCCTCTGAAAAACAACCAATTACAAATGTGTGTTATATATAATTACTGGTAACATTTTGTAAAAAAAGGTAAAAGGGGTCATGTATAAACTAAGAACAGATAGTAATTAGAATTAACTCCCTTCTCAATTACTTCAATTCAGGTACCAACAGATCAGAGGGAACTTAGAAACAATAAGTTTCTTGACTGTGCCAGTACAATGACTGAGAAACTTGACGTTCATTTCACCAATAAAACAATAACATTCCTATTTTTCATATCTTATAAACATATCTCCTCAATGCTTTAGAACATTGGTTAACAAGTTGTCATATAAAAGACAAGTGGAAAGGTATACCTGTAAAAGCTTCTTTGTCTTCCTCATGACTCAATCTATAGCAACGGGGACAAAATGAGTCTTGATCAGCATTATCAAATAATCTCACATTTCTTAAATTAACACACAAACCAACCTGCAACATAAAACCATATATAAGAAATAAAAAATATATTTGAGTGTTAAAAAACAATTTAAACTAAGACTATAAATTCAATTCGGTTTTGAGTTTACATGCATTTTTCATAACATTTTACAGCTTGGATTATTAGATAAGAGCAACCTTGATATTACCTTAGTTGTAAATGAACCAGCTTTACAATAATGGTTAACCATCTGCTCACGCAGTAAAAAACGATAATCTATTACATCTCTCTTTAACACCCAGAAAAACACTGGATTTACATTTCTCACCATTCTTGACTGTAAGTAATCAAAACAAATAACATGTCACTACACTAAGGCTTAAAAAATCAGTATTAAATTTAAGCATCTGAATGAATAGAAGACCAATATGCCTTACTTGATTGAACTGTAGAACTTTAGCCTAGAAGCCATGCACATGTCTACGCTTTCATACATGTTTTACATAGCCTTGGTGTAAAAGACACACTTGTGTATACTATAAGACTCACTTGTGTCTTAGACACCATAAGTTTTCAGTAAAAATTGCTTATATTTACCATAATACCATAAATACCATCATCCTCTTCCCATGGTGGAATCTTAGGTTCATCATCTAAATAGAGTAAAATCAACAGTGAAAATATTTCTACCAAAAATATTTACATTTCTAATGAAAATTCAAAATTATTTTAATCATACTGAAAAAATTCATATTGCCAACAAATGATAATAAATTACAGTTGAATAATCAAAATCATGATAACATTTATGAAGTACTATACTTACTATCATCATCTGTTCCATCATCATCATCGTCGTCATCATCATCATCATCTCCATCACTATCATCACTCTCAGAGTTCTGCTTTCTTCTTTTAGTACGAGATGCACGTTTGACAGGACCTGTTGTTTTATAAAACTTTTCTACCCAGCCTCTCTTACGTAAACTCTGTCGTATACTAGCATAACCGCCTTGAATAGTAAAGATTTTACGAAACTGAAAAAGAAATGAATGAAGATATCAACACTATAGACATGTTCAAAACTGGTTGAGTTATCCTAACTGAAATGCACAAATGGGACAAAAACTATTACATGTATATCAAGGATTCCATTTACTGATTAGGCAAATACAAATCAAACACAGTCTATCCTAACTATTATTCATGAAATTAAGCAACAGCAAATGGACCACATGAAGCAAACTTTAGTGCTGATAAAATGTCCAAAATTTACCTTGATTGCCTTTTCCACGATTTCCTTAGCATTTCGAAGACGTTCTCCATCAGCTACCAGTGACATTTTACGACCAGCTTTAGGTCGATTTAATGTCGGCATAGTTTTACTTCGAGATTGGGTGAAATTACTAGGGGCATCATTTTCTAAAAAGCAGAACAAAAAGTTATTAGCACATATCTAAAACACACAGATCCTTTTTGCACCTAACAATATAGGACTTGAAAACATAAAATTTTGAATGTTTTCTAACATCGGCTACTGTGAGGGGTCAACATGGGCTCATCAGGGCTGACACTGTTCGCCGTTGAATATGCTGGCTGTACTGCCTCCCATACAACTGTACGTTAGATTTATCAAGCCACTTTTCAGACATCACAAAGATCTGCTTACATTTTAGCATGACAATGCTTGAGTGCTTACAGTGTTACTGCTCATGCCTCCATGGAAGTTTTGAATCAGAACTGTGTGGTAGTGCTTAAACAGTAATTTCTTTGTATTTTATAAAATGAGTTCAACTCAGTTAAGTGCGTCTTTTCATGGTGTTTTACAAAATGAATTCAAATGCAATAAACAAAAGTGCATGTGCAAAAAAATTGACTTTGATTGTACATTGTGTATGCCGAATTGACCCTCTGATTAGATATTATTATGATATTATTTGAGCAGATATCACATAATTTATGACACATGCACATTAATATTGAATAAATAATAAGGGTTCTTATAAAAGGCTTGATTCTAAATAATATATAGAATTGGTATATTATAGGATATTGAAATGATGTTTTATGCACTAGACTATATTATGTTTAGGTATCTAATCAAACACAGGTATAATGTATTCTACTTTCTGCCAGCATATGGTTCTAGTTGATTATATTTTTTTATTTTACCTTTATCACCATCGGTGCTGTCTCCATTTGGACGAGGACGAGGCAAAACGCCATGATTATTAAAACGAGACTTCTGGGATTTCAACACATCATGGTTAGCATAAGGCCCTGAAAGAGGGTCTCATTTAGCTAACATGTATTTGACTAAATTATCATTATATCTATAACATTTTTTTATCTTAAACTCATATATTCAGATCGAAATCCACAGAACGAAAAATTGCTTTGGTAAGTCAATAAAGTGAAAACTAGGTCACACCAATTTGAATTTTTGTTCTTCCAGAATAGCTATTAAAATCTTCTTCTCTATTTCTTTTGTGAAAAAAGAAAACTAATTTAAAAACAAAATGTATTGGGTTTTAGTTCCAAGTTTTGGCAGTTTAAACAAAATATTATTTGTGACACTCCAACTGCTAATTTTTTATTAAAACCCTGAATAACGAAAACTGAAATTGGTTTGGCCTATGTGTGCATTTTATATACATCGACATTGTACATGCAATTTAATATTAAAAATATGTGTACTATTTAACATAACAATGTGGTATGTTTCTTTAGTATAAATTTATGTGCAAATAAAATTGTAGCAAACTGGGTACCTTCCAACAAACGTTGAAGATTGGGTGATGTTGTTGTCTTCATTCTGTTAATGGATAGTGGGCTTACAGCTGGCATGTCTTCTAATTCATTTAATGTTTCTTCAAAATTATCATCAGAAGTTACTTTACTATCAAATTGATTAGTGGGAGAGGAGAACTTGTCTCCTTTCTAATAATAAAGAAAAAAATCAAAATTTTGAAGTTTGAAATTAAGTACAGAGAACTGCTATAAAACAATTTTTTGACATGCCCTTTTCATAAAGGTCCTTCATGTTATTATTTCTTATAACTGACAACGGCCAAAGGGATCAATTGTACCATTGATTTGATTATCTACTGTAAAAATATACCGGAGTCTGAACCACTTACTCGGTTAAAGCGGAAATTGCAAATTTTTAAGTTATATTTTTAAAATTTATTAAAATAAAGCCTGAAAATAGATGGTATCCATAAACAGTCCTACCTTGTTAAAGAATAATCCTATTAATCCTATAATTCACTATTGCCAGCTGAGAAATTGGCAAAAATATCATTTTCCTCTTCATTTTCAAACGTTTGAAAAAAGCTACTCCATGGTGGAGAATAGAAAACAAGGGAGGTAATTGGGAGGTAATTGTGTTATTATTTCCTGTGTAAATGAGTTTTAAGTGTGAGAATGACACCTATGATCGTATAATTGTGAGTTGACAACCTATTGAGCAAAAGACATAGAAGAAATAATTAAGTTTTGACTTTCTTAGAAAATTTGCAATTTCCGCTTTAAAAAAACCACGAATAATTCTTAGCACTCATGTCATATGGAGAATAATATTTTGTCACCTTGAGTAACCTAGAAAGTAGCTCTTCATTTATTGGGTAATATCACCCAATAACACACTCTACAGTAGATATCGTTTATGTGATAACTTTCATAATCTACCAACTCGTAGCAGATTCATTATCCAAATAAAGCTGAGAAACAGAAAACACCAGCAGGGCTTTTCTAGGAATGATTTTGCTAATCTAAATGGTGCCCAAAATTAAGCAGTAAATAACAGTAAAATTCACCACATTCTAATAATATCAAACTCCTTACAAGCAAAAACTTGCGACTTCGTTTGATATCAAAATGTCTTCCTCTTTCTTGTTTTTTTTTTTTTAAGTATGATATAAAAAACTTTCCCGTCAGGTGTAATAGTTTTGAGATGAACAATAACAACAGATATCTAAATTATATGAAGTAAATACTGTACCTCTTTCCCACTCTCTGATTCACTAATAATATCATTATCTTTATAAATTCTAGTGGAATAACGTTTTGAATGTGGAGACAAGGTGAGGTTTTTCTTAAACTGATGATCAGCTTTCTTTATCTGAAAAGGGTAATAAAGAAATAACATATCTTAAAATTAAAGATGTATTATGTAAAAGCTAAATTTGACTATTGCAGATCTTTTTTCTAGTTTCAAATAGAGCTGGGCATTATTTTGGTTTTTCAATATAAAACCGGTCACAGAGATAAAAACCGTCAAAAAATACCATTGTACGAAAATATCAAAAACCGAACACACTGTGATTTATCCAGGTTTTGATTTTTCTTGATATTTAACATAAATATTGAAAAAAAATTCTTCCTTTTTATGTGTTTAAGAAATTTTATTGTTTAATGATGAATAAATAATGTTGTTCATCCAGGTTTTCTGGCGTGGTTCCCCCTTGTCAGTGATGCAGGACGGAGGGCCTGACAAGAACAACTGTCCTTCGGTTGAGACGAAAAACCGAGGTCCTGTGTATATATTGGAATGCACGTAAAAGATTCTCTGGCAGTTGGAATTCGATATAAGAGTAGGCGATAGTGCTGCTGCCTGGGCAAAATTTCCCTCATAGCACACTGTATGGCATATGCCCGTCTTCATTAGCACACTATAGGAGCAGAAAAGTAGGACGTTAACCCCATTTCATTTCATAAGTTAACTCCTGAGTGTTCATTCCACAAAGTTTGCAAACACCGTTATAGAGCTTAATTCCTTCACGTGACTTCTCGCTCACTTTTCCACCCGACCAGTACTGTTAGTAATATATCTGTTTCTTTTCAATTTCTATGCATCTCAACGAATTGTGTATACAGAATCTTTGATTTTTTGAAGGAATCATTGATTTTCTTATTGAAATAGATTTTAATAAAGTAGAAATATAAATAATGGCAACTATAGTACCAGTAAACTGATTATCAATTTGTCATGGTGGTCTGTGATAAAAAAAAAATCGCTATTTGCAAGCCTGGAAATAAGGCACCTGTCACTGACAATGTCAGGCACAGATTCAGGCTTTGTCAGGCACTAAACCTCTGCCCTGGTGCCTGTCATTTTGTCCTGCATTGATATTATTAATACATGTTGAAAATGTCAGGTACTATTTCATTAGTGCCTGACATTATGATTTTGTCAGGTACATGTAAAACTGTTATTTCCAGGCCTGGCTATTTGACTTCATTAATGGACTTTTTGAGACAGCACTGATGTTTATGGTATAATTTAGTACCGTGTTTATTATATTGTAAAATTCATTTTCAAGACGGCATATGCTTAAATGATAAAAAACGAGTTTTCAAGCGTGAATAAACAGCCTCCAATCGTACCTGTGGCTATAAAAACATGCACAGACGATAGAACAACGCAGACTTAATGTTTTCCTTTTTTTATGCTTCCTTCATATGTAAATAAATTGTTTTTGTAAATATGATAGGCCTACTGTATCTTATGTTGATATTTTTTAATATATCTGTTTCTTTTCAATTTCTATGCATCTCAACGAATTGTGTATACAGAATCTTTGATTTTTCGAAGGAATCATTGATTTTCTTATTGAAATAGATTTCAATAAAGTAGAAATATAAATAATGGCAACTATAGTACCAGTAAACTGATTATCAATTTGTCATGGTGGTCTGTGATAAAAAAAAAATCGCTATTTGCAAGCCTGGAAATAAGGCACCTGTCACTGACAATGTCAGGCACAGATTCAGGCTTTGTCAGGCACTAAACCTCTGCCCTGGTGCCTGTCATTTTGTCCTGCTTTTGTAAATATGATAGGCCTACTGTATCTTATGTTGATATTTTTTAATAATATTGACAGTACAAGGTGTCAAGTGAATACTCAGGGTTATGTCCAACTTTTTATGCACTATATTATTAAATTGACATTTTCTGAAAATAATGGCATATCCACTGAACTAGTTACTTTAGTAACGTAAATTGTATTGGCTCTGCTCTGCCGATACAATTTACGTTACTAAAGAAACTACCCCGGAACCAGCTCTAGTTTCAAATGTTATATAATTATGATGTGGGCATATTCACATATGAGAAGCACATAATCAACTCTTAGATCATCAAATGGCTTACATATTTAAGTTGTATGATATGCGGTACTAAAAATGACACCCGATTGAAGGTGTGAAAATCAAGACTTCCTTTATTATTGAGGCAATGGTGTAGGCTACTTGACAATCAAGAATATGAACTGTCAATTGGCAGTCGTCAAACAGTATTTAGGCAATTTCTTTAATAAGTAAGTCTAATATATTATATGGCCTATTTATCAAATTATTGTGGTGGGGTGCGGGGGGATATATAATTATATTTCAAGAGTCAAGACATCATTTAAGTCTTCAAAGAAATATTACACTTATTCACCAGACGGGAGGAAATATATATTTCTTAAAGAGAAATATAAGCTTATAACACTCATAATAGTTTAACTAGAGCAATAAATAGGTTTCATAAAAATTGATTAAAATCGCTTGAGAGAGAAGATAGAACAAAATCAGTTATATCTCAAGAAAGGCAGTATTTTCAATGATTACAGACAGTCATTCAAGAAAATTCAATGACATCGCAAATTTTATTTTTGATCCACCAAATACGGTAAAATAAACGAGGTCCAATGATTTTAAGCAATAGGCCCTAAACTGGATAAGAAGATAGAATTAAAATTTATTCTTTTTACTATTTCACTCACATGTTTTCTTTGGTTTTCTATATGTTGCTGTTGGCGGGACATGAAATCACTATTTAAGGTTTCCGCTATTTTAATGCTTGCCATGTTTAAACTTGGTTTAAATGTAAATACTGAAGTATCAAGATCAGCATGTCGTGCAGAGAGGGAGACATTTTTATCAGCAGTCTCACAATCAAACTCTTGGTTCTTTTTGATCAACATTTCATTAGGACTCTTTGATATTGGGTTCGCCAATATGCTTGATTTTTCTGCACAGTCTGAGTCTGGGTCTTCAAATTCCGAAGAAAGCTTATGAAATACTTTCTTGTTCGAACATTTTACATCTGACATTGATTCTGTACATCTAGGTTTTGACTGGTGAGCAGTGATAGCAACAATGGGTCCTAGCGGTTCACGAGTATTTAACCTGCTCTTTGTTTCCAACATGAAATGAGGTATCCCATAACTATTTTCCAAAATATGGCGCTTTTCAAGTGCAATCCGTTGACTTGTTGCACTGATTTTTGGAACAAATGTTAGATCAGCGTCCATGTATCGGCTTCTTTTCCCCATTTCATTTTTGTAAAACCCATTAACTTTTACTTCATCATGACATTAAATTAGTTGCATGCATTTATAAACTAATAAATCCAATATTCAATGTCAGGGGTCTTCTTGTCGCCATGGAAGGGCGCCATATTGTTTGGCATAGTTTCCCATATAGTCTCTAACCCAAAATGTTTCCACGATAATTTAATATTTATTATTTATTTTATCTATCGAATTGATTATACATTGCGTGATCCATGATTATACATTACTTATGATGGCTATTTAACAAAGAAAAGAATTGCAATTAGATGATATGTACGATAATAAGCCGATCTTGTTCGTGGGTCAGATAGTCACGTGACAGGTGTAAAAAGTGGGTCACATGGTCACTCTGGAAGTGTCATGTGATAAATACTAAGTTTCTGAGGTTCCTTGGAGTTGTCGCATTGTCATTGACGTAATAAATCTGACAGATTCGTCTATAATTAATAGATAGGATCTCTGTGGTACAATTTAGTAAGTATATGGTGTCATTTGATCGCTCAATCAATCTAATATGAAATTGATATTGTAAATGTGTTATTTTCCACTTTGTTCACGCAAAACTGTCAGATTTTGAATAATCATCACACAGATTGTGACAGATAAAGAAATGTCAAATGCAATTAATGGCCCAAAGTAGTTGAACCCTGGACCTTATAAGGTCCATGTTGAAGTACTTAAACTCTTAAAAGACAACAGTTTTTGGGGTCTTTACATTTGCGATTCCAGGGTATTTATTTTAGATAAATTATGAAAGTATAACTTAACTTAATCATATAGATTCAAACTATATTAATTAGATCTATTAAATTGTATTAAAAAGTACAAAAATAATGATTATATTATGGCAAAATCTAACAAAATTGGTGAACAGCTGATCAAGGTTATGAGATTGATGAAATTGGATGACTCCATTATCATGAATTAAATATTTATCTAACCACTGTAAAACTAAAATACTAATAGAATCAATTACTTCTTCGGTTCTTATCCAAGCAAGTGTATTATGAAATGGTAAATGAATTAAAAGTGACACAAACTATTAAATTTACTTACATGCATGATTAATAGAAAATATAAGATATTATACTGCTTAGTACATGTAATTGTATTTTGTAGTAGGCCTATACTTATTAATAAGGAGATGAATAATTAAAAGCCTTTGTCTTGTTTTAGAATCCTTACTTTTTGAAAATGTGTGTATTTAACATGAATAAATATTGTTTAAATCAATTAAATATTTTACAAGTACATGTACTTGTACCGGTAAAGCAGTGAAAATAATATCAACCATAATTTATCAAATTATTGTTAACCTTGTATGACTTTTTACAAATATAGCCCCATACACCTTCCTTGTTAAAACATGTCAATATTAAAGTAACAATTTCATATTTTTAAGTTATATTTTTAAAATGTATTAAAATAAAGCCCTAAAATCGATGCTATCTAGAAACTCCTACCTTGTTAAAGAATAATCCTATTAATCCTAAAATTCACTATTGCCAGTTGAGAAATTGGCAAAAATATCATTTTCAACTTCAAATTCAAATGTTTAAAGATAGCTATTCCGTCGTGGGGAATAGGAAAACAAGGGAGGTAATTGTGTTATTATTTCCGGTGTGAAGATTTTTGAGTGTGAGAACGATAACCTATGATCGTATAATAGTGAGTTGACAACCTATTGAGCAAAAGACATAGAAATAATTATGTTTTGACTTTTTTTTAGAAAATATGAAATTGTAACTTTAAACAAACTAAATTGTTTTTGTTTTTCCCTTACAATATGCCAATATTGCCCAAGACATAGTTGGAAAAACAAGTTCTTTGTCTGATAAATAAACCAGCAAAGAATGGACTTCTTATTAGCATAGGTGAATAGTGATACAGCACAGGTCTTTATTTTGGTTTCAAATGTTATATATAAACTATTATTCAAACATTTATTAATATGACAAGTCTATAATCAACTCTCTAGGACATTGGATGACATTTTTATTTAGTAGATTAGAAAGCTTTGGCCATTTAATGATTTAATTTAAAAATGGAGAAGTGAGGCTAAGTCTCAAAAAAGAAAAAGTACCATTGCTGCAATAATAAACAATCAATGCCACATCTTGTCAGAAATCCAAACAGTGATAACTTTGCTCAGAACAAAGTAATTTAAATGAAATTTTCAATATATTCACTTTGCATTAACTATTTTTATATGCCCACATTTTTATGTGGACGTATATTGTCCTCGCCCCCTGTGAATGTGTGTGTGTCACTGTTACACAATAATGATGGTTACGGTCAGATGTCATAAAAATGGGATCGAAACTGCCCAACAAAATGATGAAACTTTACATGTATGTTTATAACCCAAAGATCTTGGTTCTTTTGGATATTTGTGCATATCAGACCATAACTGTCCGGATTATGGCCCCTGATTGTATGAAAAATCATGTTTTTTAGCTTGTGGAACCTCTAGGGGTAACAATTTTTATCCGATTTAAAAAATTAATATCACTGTTACACCCTAATGATGGTTGAATTCAAATTTCCTGAAAATCAGACCGAAACAGCCTGACAAAATGGCTGCTTCGTGTATACAAATAGTGTAAAAGTATGTAACACCAAGGTTGTTGACCCTCTAGAAGTCACAATTTTGATCTGATTATGGCCTCTGATTGTACAAAAAATGGCATTTGTTTTTAGTTCATTCTATGTCCATCTCTTGCAAAATGTGGGCATATCTTGCATGACAACTACTTGCTAATTATTCATATAATTTACAGAAATGGGTTGTTCCACAGCATTACATGTTCTAAGAGAAGAATTTAGATTGAAGAAATTTGATTTGAGTGGTGTGGATGAAGAAAGGTTTTATACATTTCAGGTAGTAATTATGTCATAGATTTTATTTACTTCCTGCTTGTTGGGGTTAAAGTTTAAAAGTTTTAGATTGTTTCTTAATCCCTAAAATTCTTTTTGGAGATCAAAGCATAATATTAATATTTGGTTGTACAAATAATATGAAGTAATCAAGTGTCATCTTCGAATGCTAAAATCAAAATTCTATCAAAATGCAATACTGAATATTAAAGTTGCAAATTTCAATTGATCCTAAATAATTACTAGAATAAAAATGTGTGAAACATCACTTCCAAAAATTAATTCTCTTTTTGAATTTTTCTGCTATTAATGTCAATGCTATTGAAGACATTATCTTCACTAGAAAGAGAGAATGAAATTGTCTGTTTTAGCTTTTGTTGTATGGATAGCCATATCTAGCAAAACATGTAATATTCATATTTTAGTCCGGGGTATTCCATTATAATTTCTGATATGGCCAATACTGTTGGACTGTCACCACTATGGCAAGTTCAAATTGTGGTACAAGCTCAAATTGTGGTGCAGTTAAAATTCTTGGGGAGCTGACTTTTAAGTTGATTTTCAGGGAAGATTAGATAGCAATCTCTCATTTCACCGAATTTTGTCATAAAAAATGTTTTTGTTGTCCCAATAATGTCATTGTCGTCATTGTGCCAGCAAATTCTTACTTAGATTATGAAATCAGTCCTTTGTCTTTTGTTTCTTTACTTTCTCAGCTGTATTTTAACATAATTTTTTTTCTCAGATGTTTATGCAATATGGTTTTGTTCTTTTTATCTTTCAGTGGAGAGTACCTCCCATTGTCTATTTAATTTATCGCTTCGTCGTAGCAGGTTACACATTCTCATGGTTGATCTACACAGCACAGATCTCCAGTAATCCTCCATATGGATGGGCTGTTTATTTAACTAATTGGTCATATACTGTCCTCACTGTTTATTTATTTTTACATCTAATTATAACAATTGTACACTATTGCCTTAGTTGGCGCCGTGGTGTTACACTCTTCCATAAGACTGATTCCGAACAACACCAGAAATATTTTAGAGAAGATAACAACCTCCAGCGATCTGCATCTTCAGAAAACATAACAGAAAATTCTCCTGATGGTGAAATCCAGGTTGTTGTACCAAAACTGCCTTTCTATGTTAAAATAGTGTGGCTGCTTTTTGCTGTTATATCCCCAGCAGCTCTGATGGTCACTATCATGTTTTGGTCAGCAATTTATCCATCTTTAAATCACGCAAACCCAATAGGTATCGATAATATGCAACTTCATGTTCTGAATTCTGTGATAATAGTCATAGAACATGCGGTAACAGCATTGCCTTTTCGTTTACTTCATTTTATATACCCATTCATTTATGGCCTCATTTATATTACATTTAGCGCCATCTTTTGGTCTGGTGACCACCATAGAGTTATCTATAATATAGTAAACTGGAATAAACCAGGTATGACAGTTGGTTTTGTTCTGTTAATAGGTTTTGTAGTCATACCTATACTGTGTTTGATATTTTTTCTCATTTCTCGACTAAAACTTTGTATATATCGTAAAATTTCTTCTCAGAGTTAGAATCAAATTTAGCTATATTTTTGTTAAAGCGAGAATTTCATATTTTCTAAAAAAGTCAAAACATAATTATTTCTATGTCTTTTGCTCAATAGGTTATCAACTCCCTATTATACGACCATGGGCATTATTTCCCACCCATAAAAATCATTGACACAGGAAATAATAACACAATTACCTCCCTTGTTTTCCTATTGCCTCCATGCATTAGCTACCTTCAAACGTTGGAATTTAAAGTTGAAAATGGATATTTTTGCCAATTTCTCAGCTGGCAATAGTGAATTATAGGATTAATAGGATTATTCTTTAACAATGTAGGATGGTTTATGGATACCATCTATTTTAAGGCTTTATTTTAATAAATTTTAAAAAATATAACTTAAAAATATGAAATTGTAGCTTTAAGCAGTTAATCTATATAGACACAATAACTGAATAAGCAGATATAAAGACACACACAACATGGTGGTCCCTTTATCTTTTGTTACAAAACAGAATTAGATTGCTTATGTCAAAAGTTATTTATTTTTGTTACAAAACAGAATTGAGATTGCTCATTTCAAAAATGGTATTTATTTTTGTCACAAAACAGTCCTACAAAAGCTCAAAAATTAAAAATATTTGTTTACAATTTAAAATATGATTCC